CCTAATGGCATATCCCCACAGTTGCGCATTCACATTCTGATTTTTGATCAACGCAGTGCTCTGCCATCCGATTTCTCTGTATGAAAATTTAAAAAAATTTTAAAGGTGACAATTTTGACAAAAGAAATGATTAATACTGAGAATGCGATCGCTTTCTTACTGTACTAGTAAATACACTATTAGATTATTTATGTAGTTTTTATAAATGTAAATGCTTCATACACAAGTTTTGGACAAACAAAATATGTAGATTACATTAAAACACACGTAGTTCAAACAATACATTGCACTTATTAATGATGACTATGACTGGAAGTGTCTTTTAACGCAATCTACTTCTGGGGGAACAAACGCTCATTCTGTCTGAGGAGCAATTCATATTTCCAGATATAGCTGTAAACGTTAGATGGCATTGTGTGGATATTAAAATTTAAAATTATAAAAACTCTTCATATAGCTTCTGTATTAACAATTTAATGCCCCAATAAACATTTTTCCCTGATTTCGGCTCAATCTGGAGGAATTGACATAGAAAATGGAAAAAGCTGGTCTCTGTCATTTATTCATAAATTCTTATTTTTAATTGTTTCGTGTATTTTATCTTTTGTCATATATTTAAACAAAACGAAGCCTTCTTTAAACTTGTCATAGGTAGACAAATTTGCTTTAAAAGTATAATGTTTTATCAATTACTAATATAAAAACGCTTCTGGTGCAACAAGGAACAAAAAGTGACTTTCGATAGAAATTACAATTGAAATTCCAAAGTTTAATTCTATAATATTACATAGATAAATATAATCCTGCTGCTATTTTAGAGCGTAGTACTAGCTTAAAATTGCTTCTGGTCTAAGGAGAGAGGATAGGATTTTTGGAGTAAAGGTGGAGAATTGCACATACAGGGGTGCCACAGAAATCTCTTTTAGGACGTATCAAATATCGTTTGTTTTGCCAGGAGTGTTGATTAAAAACACTAACAAAGACATTTTTCCTCATAAAAAAATCATTAAAATATATAGCTTATAGTTTTTCTGAACAATGTGCGTCAAATATATTTTGCATATCCTTAATGTATAACTGTGTATTAATTAAACAATCTTGGGGATAATTGTGTGTCGCCTGGTCTGTTTGTTAACGAAAATGTGAATGGTTATAAACTGCCATTTAAATTTACAATACGGACCAGGGAAATAAAATGAAAGTACATTTTTGTTTTTTCTGAATTTAATTTGAAATGCTAGTTTTTGCAAAACATAGATCGCCACAACAGGACGCAATTTTCGTCGAATTTATGGAAGCACTACATTTTATAACAAGAAAGGAATGCTAAAGTCGAGCAGGCTCAACTCTTAAATACCCTGTACCACCCCACAAAAAAGTAATTAAATTAATTAATTTAATTTAATTAATTAACTAAATTAAATATAAAATATTCCATGCATGCATACATACATTTACATCAGAATCGTGCCTTATGCGTGTGTGTGTACTTGTACATATGTATGTATGTGTGCATTGGGCCTGGTTATATGGCTATAACTTTCTTTCCGATCATTCTATCATAATGAAACTTGGTATACGGATATATAATTACTAACCTAATGTGACTACCAAATTTTAGTTCAAAATTATTATTATTATTCAAAATTACGGGAGTGATAGAAAATCGTTAATAGGGTGCGAGTGGGGGGGGGGGGGGGTGGATCAGAAAAAATGAACAAACTCGTCCTTTCTCGGGCTCAGGAGAATCTGTATACCAAGTTTGGTTATTCTAGCTCTTATACTTTCGGAGATCCTTGCGTTCATACAGACAGACAGACGGACAGACGGACATGGCTATATCGACTCGGGTATAAAAAAAAGTCTAATGTAATCGTCGACAGTTAGTTGTTGCTGACAACTGAGTGCGTTACAGGATTTTTACAGAATTAGTCAGTCAAATGTGAACGTCAGCTTTGCTGATAGCTGACTTGCAGGGGAAGTTGGAAAAAATTACATCTTTCAAAGTTCTTTGGCACCGACGTATTTTTTTTTATACCCTGTACCCAAAGGGTACAAGGGTATATTAGTTTTGTGCGAGTGCACATGGAACACACAGAAGGAGGCTTGGTAGACCCCACAAAGTGTATATATTCTTGATCAGCATGACAAGCCGAATCGATATAGCCATGTCCGTCTGTCTGTCTGTATGAACGCAAGGATCTCCGAAAGTATAAGAGCTAGAATAACCAAACTTGGTATACAGATTCTCCTGAGCCCGAGAAAGGACGAGTTTGTTCATTTTTTCTGATCCACCCCCCCCCCCACTCCCCCCCTATTAACAATTTTCTATAACTCCCGTAATTCTTGGAATTTTAAACTAAAATTTGGTAGACACATCCAGTTAGTAATTATATATCTGTATACCAAGTTTCAAGTTATGATAGGTTGATCAGAAAGAAAGTTATAGCCATATAACCAGGCCCAATGCACACATACATACATATGTACAAGTACACAAACACGCATAAGGCACGATTCTGATGGAAATGGAAATGTATGTATGCATGCATGGAATATTTAATTTAGTTAATTAATTAAATTAATTTAGTTAATTAGTTTAATTTAATTAATTAATTAATTAAATTAATTTAATTTCTTTTTTGTGGGGTGGTACAGGGTATTTGAGAGTTGAGCCTGCTCGACTTTAGCATTAATTTCTTGTTTTTTTGTGAGATTTCAAAAACAAATGTTACCGAAACCTCGAGATTTCTGTGGTACCCCTGATAAGTTTATGTGACTTTCTAAATGTTGAAAGTAATGATGAAATTCCCTAACTCATGTTGAGTTTTGCTAATGTGGACTGACTGCGACCGATCTTTTCTGTATTAATTTTACAGTTATTACTTACATTAATATGTTAAAAAAAAAGTAGAATCGCTATGGAATTGTTTATTCATCAGTCGGAAATTTTTTATGTAACCACCATTATCACATCATATTTATAAAAAGCACGTAACTCCCTTGATCTCAGAGTATTAAAGAATTATGTTTTATATTATTATTTTCTTTATTTATAACCGAAATGGTGAAAATGGGGTGACTATTACAGAGTATAAAATAATCGAGATGGCGCAACTTTGAACTCGTTATCTTTTTTTTATCCTTATGAAAACCCCTTTTCACAAAATGCAAACGTTATACCAGTTTGTTGGAAATGTTGATACCGTAAAAGAATGTACGGCTTCCCCCCTCATCCTCGCAACTAACTACCACAGAAAATATAACGTAAATAAAAGTAAATTTACACTATTAGTATTAATATGAAATAATACATACTAGTATTCCTGCAGATATAAATTTGTAACTTTTTATTTGGTAAATTTTAAAAGGGAAACAAAATTGTATAATAGAATTACTTTATCCCACAAATTTTTCCAGGAGATTAAAATCAGCGTTTGGGATATTTGTCAGATAATGCAAAGAAGAAGTGATTGGGGCCATTACCTATAAAAATTAGATAAATTTTGCTGCTTACTTACAAATGATCGCTTATTACCTATTTTATTCCAAAGCAAGAATTTTCCTTCTCAAAAACATGAAAATATTAAGAAGAATAAACAATTTGTCGTACTATTTTCATTCAGCATATACATACATATTAATAATATGTTGCATATACGTGCCCCTGCTTGCATTTTTTTGCTTGTTTTTTATGCTTTAATATATATGTATATACCATATACGAGTATGCGTAACTTAGCTGTTGCGATACGACCAAGGAGCTCCGCCTTACAATTTTGCAGGCTAGTTTAGTATGCCACATGGTTGGCATTGAGTATTTTGTTTCTATTTATTATGTTTTATAATTAGTTGTTACTTTAAGTACATAAATATATTTTTTTCGGTGGCTGAAGTACTTTTTGTATTAAGCTGCAACCACACACGAAAACCACTTGCCTATATGAAAGACAACATCGCAAATACCAAGCTAAAGACAGAATTTCAACAACAGCTGGCCAAGGGAGCTCCAAGTTGGCTTAAAGCAAATTATATAATTGAAGTGCAGTCAATCTTTTGCTAATGTAGTCATTAAAGCTGCTATAAACAATAACAGAAGTAACGGCAAGCACCCGGAGAAGGACCAACAAAATTACACAAAATCTTAAAATTGATTAAAAAGTGAAAGTTTTCTTTTTCATCATCGACCGCGGCGCTTTTATCGTCGTTGTTCGTCGTTTGCACAAAATTAACAGAAAAAGAAATGCAAAAACAATCGTACGTTGAGATTTTAAAACAAAGTAAAGAAGCGAGCAACAAGCATAGCGCCAACAACAACAAAGCAAAGCAAAGAGAGAGAGACCGCAGATCGGAGCTCAGTTCAGTGAGCCATATACGTTCCGCAAAGCGAGTGAAGCAACTATAAGTCTATAACAGAATTTGCAAACAAAAACAACATTAACAGCACAAGAAGCTGAACCTATTGGGCACCAGACCCACCATTAAAAAAAAGAAGAAAATGTTGTAAGCAGCACCGGCAGTAGCACAACAACAACGACGGCTAGCAATAGGAATAGGAAAGGTGGCGGCGATGGGGTGTCGCGCCCGCGCTTAGTCTTTGGGCACCCACAGCTTCGCTCTTCTCACGCCACCCAAAGCATAGCTCAGGCCTGGAGAAACCCAGGTGAACAGCACAGCTCCAGTCGGGTGGGGGATGGGGATGGGGAGGGGGATTGCATATGCAAAATACATACATATATACATACTGACACCTGTTTGTGGTTAACGTCGTTGCTGCCGCTGCGCTGGCGGCTCCAAAGGCGGAAGTAATTTCGGCATTGGTGCATATCACTTTCACCATTTTCGTGTAGCACGTTTGTGTGTCACCTTCTTACATACTATACCTGTACTGTGTACTGTGTGTGCTTGTGAGGGGGTGCTAATTTCATAATTGCCAAGAGCTGGTAAATATTTTCACTTGATAAATAAATAATAACATGTTGCTTTTACTTATTTTTCAGTCACCGTTAATCCACCGCCGCAAAGACCTTGGCTGCCACTTGCAAAACCAAACAAAACGCGTCCAGCCTGTAAGTATTTCTTACTTTACCTTTCAAATTTGTCATGAAACACTATTTGTGAAACATCTTTTATACATTCATTTATCCCAAAACATTATTGGCATGTGGATCGTCATTTAAGTTTATTCCTAAATGTTCATAGATGGTACACATGACAAACGCATCACACTTTCCCCTGCTAATATATTAATACTAATCTTTGTGACATTGAAAATATTATTTTGGGCTAACATCCTACGTTTATATTTTTAAATACATTCCTACGTCTAATGTTAAAATACGCAAGCATAACGATTTCGCATTACCTGGCTCTTTTTTGAAGTGCGAAGAGGCAACCATAGTAGATACAAGTAATAAGCATGACGAGATGAACTGATAAAGATTTGTCCAACTCTCCGTCCGTATGAGCAGAGATAACTTTTGGGCTATAATAACTAGGGACACCAAACTTAGTCTTATCCATACACAGAGCAAGTTTATTACAAATTTCAAAATTATTGTAGTTTACCACGATGTCGATAGGCAAAGATTGAATGTAACCTATATACAATTGTATTCAAGAGTTGGGCTGGGCTGACATGATTTTAACTTTATATTCGTTTTTTTAACATTCATTTCCATTTGGGGTGGTGGTAGGCACCACTCTTGATAAAAAGGTTGATTAAATGCAAAATAGGCGAAACTCACTTTTAGATCGATTTGTTTCCTAACTTTCAGCTAAGCCTCCTATCTTAAATTCTGGTCAGGATTTCGATCTTCATTACTTCACATTAAGAGCAAATCGAAATTTAATTATTGAAGTACATACATACGTCTAAACATTACCAAACCAGGTTTGAAGCGCAGTGTAGTAGAGTTCACCTGAGTTGTACAAATAGTCTTTATAAATACTTAATGTTAATCTAACCGTTTCAAAAAAACTTTTAATTGGTTTTCTGGAAACATTAGTCTGATGCAAATCATGTAAAATTTTAGTTTTTAAAATATATTATATATATTTCACGAGTCTGTGCTAACTTGTCGTTTGCAGGCATTTTCACCGTCATGTGCTATAATGTGCTATGCGATAAGTACGCGACGCGACAGATGTACGGCTATTGTCCATCGTGGGCGCTATGCTGGGAGTACCGTAAGAAGTCCATTATCGATGAGATACGGCACTATGCGGCAGACATTATAAGCCTTCAGGAAATCGAAACAGAACAGTTCTATCACTTTTTTCTACCTGAGCTGAAGAACGATGGTTATGAAGGAATTTTCTCACCAAAGTCGCGGGCGAAGACCATGTCCGAAGTAGAACGCAAATATGTGGACGGTTGTGCGATATTCTTTCGTGCATCAAAGTGAGTATGCTTAAGATACAATTGTCATCCATTGATTCGAAGATAATATTCTACATATTCTTTAACAAATTTTGTTTTGGTTGAATTATTCGTTAAATCTGAAAGTTATCATCTTGCTCTTTTATCAGATTTACGCTAATCAAGGAGCACTTGATTGAATTTAATCAGCTGGCTATGGCTAATGCTGAAGGATCGGACAACATGCTGAACAGAGTCATGCCAAAGGATAACATTGGTCTGGCTGCCCTCCTCAAGGTCAAGGAAACGGCATGGGAGCCCATGTCTGAGGTAACACAGATCTCACAACCGCTCCTCGTGTGCACAGCGCATATTCATTGGGATCCAGAGTTTTGTGACGTCAAACTGATACAGACAATGATGCTGAGCAACGAGCTGAAAACAATCATTGACGAGGCCAGCCACAGTTTTCGCCCCGGCCATAAGAACGATTCCAACAGTGTGCAGTTGCTGCTATGTGGCGATTTCAACTCGCTGCCAGACTCTGGCGTCGTTGAGTTCCTTGGCAAGGGCCGCGTCTCCATGGATCATTCTGACTTTAAGGACATGGGCTACAAGTCGTGCCTGCAACGATTACTGTCTAACGACACGAACGAGTTCACGCATTCCTTTAAGCTAGCTTCCGCTTACAGCGAGGACATAATGCCGCACACGAATTATACGTTTGACTTTAAGGGCATCATCGATTACATATTCTATACAAGGACAGGCATGAATCCTTTAGGTCTATTGGGTCCCGTATCTACGGATTGGCTGCGGGAGAACAAAGTTGTTGGTTGCCCACACCCTCACATACCCTCCGACCATTTCCCGCTGCTAGTGGAATTGGAACTGATGCACACGGCGGGGCAGCAGGCGCCACCTAATGGGCTTATCAACCGGCGGTAGCAATAAAGGCGAAGGTGCAAACTAACTGTGGCAACTACAACATCGACTACGGCGACCAAAACAAAAATGATGACTATGACGACTGTGACAGCAACGGGCGGCAATCAAAGCAATTGCAAGGATAGCCGGACGGCGATGAATGGACTATCAGCAAACCTCAGAACCCTTTCAATCAAATCCAATAGGCAAAACCAAATGACCAAACCATGAAATGGCATGACAGGGCAACGGCGACGCAATATTCAATAGGAATGACTTCCCTTAAAACCTTATAACTTATAAGTTGACAACAATATAAAGGTCTCGATTGTGCGCTGGTTCGTCAAGTGCGTCAACCCCTCTTCAACTAAAACGCATCTCTCAAACAAGATTCTAGCATTGTGCAAGTGAATGTGTTTAGTTCAGTTATCTCTTCGGCACATCATATTTCCTTGTATAAGAATCAATATAAGGAAATATGGCGTTTTGCTCTTATAATCAAGAGCAGAGGGCTTTAAATACGAATTAATTTTACTTGCTGCTCTTCTACTCCGCGTTTCTCGTTTTTTTTACTGCACCATCGAATAAAATATATAAATACATATAAATTTGATCACTTACGTTTTTGTAACATTTCATACCTGTAGAATATTTAAGTTAATAAGTTGACACATACTCTAAGCTATAAGTATAAAATTCAAAAAATATGTAAAAATTTAACGATACGAAAATACAAATATTACAAAACATGCAACAAATTATATAGAAAAAACGATTTGCTTCGATTTGAAAGAAATATTTGGCATATTCAAAAATAGCCAATATCAAAAATCTAAAAGAATCTATCAAGCAGGCGCGTCTGGGATAAAAAATATTCATAAATTGCCACAAACTACTTAGAAAGAATAATATTACAATCGCGCACGATGTGAACACAAAAGGTCAAGATTGGACAGATGAAAGGAGTTTAGAAGTGGATTCGTAAATATCTGACTCTATACATATGTAAATGGAAACAATAAAATCTAGCGAAATAGATACGCATATATGTATATAGAAACATATATTCTATATGTTACTAAATGCAGCAACCAATTCTAAATATTGTTATCGCGTAAGAAAGTATATATACTACTATATACAAATACAAACTTTGAAATATCCCTAAATAAGCCAGTAATAGGAGTGTTCCCTAAAATATTAACATATTGACTTTGTTTTTAAACACATTAAAAAATTCAAATATATTATTGTTTTTGTATCATCGTCATTTATGTTTTGAAGGGCAAGCAAGCTAAAATAAGGACTCATCAACGGTAATAAAAACAAATTCAATAAATCTTAATTCAATGGTTTTTAAATACGTCCGCATATGTAAATATTTTCGTTTAAACTTTTGTATGAACAATTTGAAAGTAGTCGTGAAAGCTTTAAGACTCTATAGAGTCGTCATACACCTCCTAAATTATTTTCAACGTATAAAAACCCTAATTTGAGCTCTGCCGGATAAAAGTGGAAGATTTTCCGATAAGAACATTGATGCTCATTATTCTTGGGAGTGAATTTTCTCAAGATACGGCTCCCTTCAAACCATAAAAGTAGTCTAAAGCTCTAAAACGAATGCATAATCAGGAACACAAGTGCTTATATAGTTGCAATATCAAGACGATATAGCCCTGTCCCTTTGAACGCAAAGATCTTGAAAAGTAAAAGAGCTGTATTACCAAGCTTGGTTCCCAGATTCCCTTAACCCCGAGAAAGGAAAACATACAGATTTTACCTTCACCTTCCCACCCCTCCCACTAAAAGGTATTGGCAATCTTCCATAGCCGGCGTAATTTTTGGAATTTTTAGCTCAGATTTGGTAATTACAGCCTGTTAGTGTTTACATATGTGTCATGTTAAGTTTCATCATGTTAGGTCAAATGTAAGGCGGCCAACCGTCCCGCATTGTGCGGGACAGTCCCGCATTGACAGGTGTTGTCCCGCATTGAAAAATCGAATAAAATAGTCCCGAAAAACCTAAAACGCGTCCCCCATGTCCCGCATTACCAACATGACATTTAAAATACATAATATAATAGAGGAAGAGATAAAAAACCATTGTTCTTTCTACTGCATCTCCTCCTCCTGCTCTCCTGTTTGACAAAACAGCGGTGAATTGAGGTGCTTAATAATCTAAGAGAAAAAGGAATACCAATGCAAAATTGCCTAAACTTGATGCTGCAATTTGCCGATGTAGTACTGGAGTAAAATGGTTTCGGTAACTTAGAATTAACCGATTTTCATAAAAATTGAAAAAAAAAAAAAATTATGTATATATAAATTATCTTTGCAAATATGGTTTATGTTGCTTATTTGGTTAATGTGCGCTCAACCGTTTTCAGACGGACGGACATACTTTGATCGATTTCTCTCGTCGTGCTGATTAAGAATATATACACCATATGGGGTCGGAGATGCTTCCTTTGCGCAACCTAATATGTATATACTTTTTACCTTACGGGTACAAGGTAAAAAAAATCCAGTACTGGTCAAAAAGTTTCACTCGTGTGAAAAATATGATTTTAAAAATAAAAAAACATAAACAAATTGAATAATTATTTTAAGTGTTTAATATTTACATACATATGTAACTGTACATATGACACATCGAAAAAAACACCACCTTAAATTGTCCCGCATTGGCTTTTGAAAAAGTTGGCCGCCTTAGTCAAATGTAAGCTTGGGCAGAGATTACATTTATGGCTAAGAATATCATCACTAATCGCGTGGGGGAGGTAGGTAAATCCGAAATGCAAATTTTATGCGAAGTCAGATAAGGCTTCTTGGAATGATAGAACGAACGGTGTTCCCGAAAATCCCCGATAGGGTCGAATAAACTAAAGTAAAACAAAATAGAACGCTACAGTCCAACAAGCCCGACAGTAAAATAGCCTGTACTCTCCACAAAAAAATAAAATTTAAAAAATATATATATTTAAAAAAAATTAAATTATTTAAAAAGAATGGAAGACATGTTTGTGTACAGTTTTACATTTACATCACGTGTCTATGCGTGTTTATATGCGTGTATGTATGCAGCACAAAGTTTAACCGAACAAGGCTATATCGACTTGTCATCCTGATCAATAATATAAATATATGTACATATATACTCTGTGGGGTCTGCCACGCCTCCTTCTGTGTGTTACATGCATGCGCACAAAACTAGTATACCCTTTAAACTTTTGGGTATAGGCTATAACAAACTCATAATAGGGCACCTGTGTACAAAATGTGGTGTCAATCTCTTATAGTCTCTGAGATTCAGGTTTTCATACGGACGGACAGACAGTCTTGTCATGCTGATCAAGAATATATAAGCTTTGTGGGGTCTACCACGTATCCTTCTACTTTTGTACATTTTTTACTAGATTCAATACATGTCAACAGCCGGAAAAATCATTCAAAAATTTTATAGACGCAAATACGCCAAATGCTAAGACGATGATGATTGACGAAGCAACAAATAATAATATGCGGTTTTTCTGTTCGCAATTCTACAATGGTATCCGAAATCGACATTCATTGTTCGCCCACTTGAAATTGTTTATGTACGCGGGATGCAATAGATAGGGCTGTCTATCTATCTTTTTTAAATCGTCGATGTGTTGATAATGAGTACTCGGTAATTCCAATGTTTTGTTGGAATTCAAAAGCAAATGGAATCTTCTTGGAAACTCATGAACTAAAACCAAATATAATTGTCACATAAAAAGCGAAAAGGCAACAAAAATAAATGAATCGATGCATCGATTTTTTGTCGAGAATTATGGGAATGCCATCGATAGCCTTTGACGATAGATCAATTGTGTGAAACATCGATGCTTTGTACTTTATTTACAGCCCTAGCAAATTGCTAGTAGCAATATATAATGAACATGCACAATGCCATTGTAACATGATCCAGGCCTGCAAGTATGGTCATTTATCGATCATTCGATATATAGTAACTAAGGTATCGGTAGTACTCCCGTGGCATCGCAAAACAAAGTACATGCATCGAAGTATTTTTGCAAATCTATTGTTGTTTAGTGGTGGTTAGCATTTCTTTAGAATTAAAACATATTTATCTTCGCATACATTTATGCCTGAATTTAAAATACTCTCTACATCGCTTGACTTTATTAAAGTTTTAAAAGTAAATGGAACAGATTTATTTACGGCAAGCACACTAACAACCCATATAAAACGGGATCAACGGTATTTGTTATGATCCTAATGCGCAAAATTAAGTTTGCCGCGCTTTTTCTATACAAATGCTAACTTTTTCATAATTTTCAAAATCTTTTTAGGAGCCATAATGTCCCGCCGCCGAGTGAGAAATTTGTCGATTTCGTCTGATTACGAACACAACAGTGCTCCAAAAAAGAAAAAAACAGCGCACACTCCTTTGGTAGATGATTTTGAAATACAGAGCCAGTCATCTTCAAAGTCGGGTGAACACTCCCAGCTAGAATTCCCAAATAATCTATCTTTAGAAGGTACTATACCACGTTCGGTAAGTTGTTACTAAAATAAAAATGCACACTTGCATTTATATGTATGTAAATACTTATAATAACATACGTATGTATGTCAACTTAACATTAGATCAACTACAAAGACATATCGGAGCGTTGTGGAAAGGTTTCCTCTATGCGCCTTCAGAACTTCATGTGTCACGAGAATTTGTTCATTGAGTTTGGTCCCAATATAAATTTTCTTGTGGGAAGCAACGGCAGCGGAAAAAGTGCGATTCTAACGGCCCTTGTCCTTGGGTTAGGCAACTCAGCACGTGCCACTAATCGTGCAAGCAGCATACAAAGTAAGTTTTGTATGTATGACCAGCGCGTTTGTGCTTAACATTTTGCATTTGTAGAACTAATAAAAAACGGAGAAACAAGTGCCACTATTGAAGTGACTCTGTGCAACTCGGGACTTCGTCCGTTTAAATCGGATATCTATGGCCCACGCATTTCAGTTGTGCGTCAAATTCGACAATCCTCTTCACAGTACCAGTTGAAAGACTCACGTGGCAATACTGTGTCGAAGAAATTGGATGACATACGTCGAATGTTAGTCTTTTTCGGTATACAGGTTGATAACCCAATATTCGTCCTTAATCAGGACACCGCGCGTCAGTTCCTAAAGGAGTGAGTTTGATTACAGTTTATCACTTTAAATATATATATGATGTATCTATAATTTTTGTAAATTTACAGCCTGGAGCCATCTTCGAATTACGCATTAGTGATGAAGGGTAATTATGAAATATACATACATATAATTCTGAACTTCAACTTATATATAGTGTAGCATTTTATATTTGATATAAGAATATTTTTAGCTAGGCATATTGCTAGTACGAATTTATAATTATTGTAATTCTAAATTTTAATTATCTGTGTTTATACTTGTTGTATAAAATGGAATACTAGTTTACTGTATGTAACGCCTAGAACGTGGCTTGGGAGGCCCTCAAAAGTATATATATTCTTGATCAGTGTGACAAGACGAGTCGGTATAGCATGTACATATCAACAAAGCGATCAGCGGCCCTACCACTCCGCCGCTATTAGTGATTTTCCATATCTCCCGTAGTCATTCGAATTTTGGCAATTATATTCTCTTAGTGTACGTATGCCAAGTTTCATCGTGATAGTTTAATTTTGAAGGAAGTTAACCCGTGAATGTAGTTTTTCCTTGCTCTGCTAGCAGTTGTTGTTGCTTTGCCTCAACTTTGTTTGTAACATACACACACATGAGCGCATTTAATTACACACATATACGAGATCCATTTAGGACATTGAAATTGTGCATGAACATAAAAATCTTCGTTCGTGAAAAATAAATTTTGATAAAGAGTTTTTGTACCACACAGAAAGTAGCTTTTATATGTTTTCCCATTTGTTTGCTTTATAGTTAATTGTGTAAAGGGAGGATGCGTTTTGTTCAAATTCTTCTTTTCATAATAATAATAATTTAACATTATTAAATTAGAATTTTATTAATTATTATTGTGAAAAATAAATGATCTATTTTGAAAGGGACTCAGTTGGACCTTTGCAGTTCAAGCTTAAATCAGAGCTACCAAAGACGAGTAAAAATGGTCCATGAAATGGAACTTTTAAAAGATGTAAGTATCTTGTCTGTTAATATGAAGTGCTCCATCTAATATTTAATGTTTAATGGATCAGAAAAAGGACCAGACGCAGAAACTATGCAATATAGAAGAGGATAAATTGAAGATGCTTCAGAACAAGGAGTCTATTATGGTAAAAATGTTAATAAATCTACTGCCAAGTGTTCATTTGGGTTTGTTTTTTAGACCCGCTTGGAGAAGGCTAAAGCGGAATTAGCTTGGGCCGCAGTCAAGCAGTACGAAAGGGAACTTTCGGGCTACATAGCAAAAATTGATGCCATTGAACTAAAAAAAGCCGAGCTGATCGAATGCACTTCCAGAAAGGATTGTCAGCAACAAGCGCTCTCTCATCAACTGAGGTAAAATCATTTCAAAAGTGATCGACCATTTGAAAATAATTCATTTCCTTAGCAAATTGGATGAAAAAAAGGCACCGCTGTTTGTATTATATAAAAAACAAGAAAATGTTACTAACAGCGCCAAACTGCGGGTACAAGAATGTAATCAGAAACTGTTTGATATTAATATATCCATAAAAAATGCGCAACGCCGAATGGAGGAGGACCAAAAAATCTTAGCCAGCTGTCAGAAACATTTAGAGAACTACAACGTTGACTATGCAAAACATAAACGATTGAAGGAGAGCCATGCCGCTTTGCTTGGTACGCTTAACAAAAAAATGATTTCAAATGAAGAAATAATTCGTCAATTGCGAAAGGAACAACAGGAGCTTACAGCCAAAGCTTTGGAAATACAAGAACAGTCTGAAAATGCAAAGAAGGACTTAAGGAGGCTTGAACAAAGGGATCGTAAGTTATTAGCTCTAATCGAGTGTTAATTTCGCTTAACAGTATTTTTTGTTCTAAATTAGATCATCTAAAATTGGAAATTAACTCGTTGATATCTAACAAATCCAATCAAATGTCTGTATATGGTCACCAGGCGATCGCTGCTCAAAATCATATTCGTAGAGAATTTAATAGCGAGGGCATGAATAATATGCCACTTGGGCCGCTCGGCACATATATATCTGTACCAAATCCAAAGTACCGCGATTTGGTTGAAAATGAATTATCAGGCGTCTTGCGCTCATATATTGTGAATTCAGATGCTGATCGTCGGAAGTTAAGCCATATATTTCAGAAGGTATACACTCATGGCAAGATTCCATCTATAATCTTAAGCCCGTATTCAGATCGTGTGTACGACGTGTCTAACCATAAGGTAAAGCCCATACCAAACACTAGATTACTTATGGACGAAATAAGGTGTGAAAACCCTATAGTAATGAACTATTTAATAGACGTATGCAGAATCGAAACTATTTTAATAACCGAATCAAAAGAAATCGCAGAATACTTGACCTCAGAGCTCGAAAATGTCCCACCAAATTTGTCACGTGTCTTAGTGCCAAATCTATTACTTGAATATTCACCAGCGCCAAATTATGCTATGTATTCGTTAAATTTAAAATCGGCGTGCATCCTTCAAGTAAACGTAGACGAGCGCATAAAGGCGCTTGAAGGTGATGCAGCAGATTTGAAGAATAACATACTGAACTCACAGAGAATATATAAAAGTACAAACGAACAAATTACCAGCTTTAATAGAGAAATCGAAGCTAAAGCATCACTTATCAATCAACGTTCAACGGAAAATAAGGAAACCTTGCGTAAAATAATGGAAATAGAGCAATACGAATACGAGGAGTTGCCTGAGCAAGATCATTTGGTAAGTGGGAACGTAAACATTTTATTTGTATTTAATTTAACAAATACATTTTTTTTTATTATTAGCAAAGAACCATGGATAACATATCTAATAAAATTTGTGAAGGGAAAAAACAGAATGAGCGTTTACAGGCCGAACTTGTCGACATCAGCAAGGACAAAGCATTAGCTGAAAATGAAGAAGCGGAGCAACGTGCGAAAATCAACCCATTACAAGAAAACATTGCGTCTGTCGAAAAAGAATACACGGAAATTGAGTGCAAAATACGCAGTCTAGATACACATTATGATGCAAACTTTTGCAAACTTAACAAAACAATTGAGTTGCTTGAAAATTTTATAAAGCAAAAGGGAAATATTGAAAGAGAGCTTCAGGAGGCGCGCAACAAAGCCCAGCAAAAAGGAGACTACAGTGAAACCGAGCAATCAGAACAAGAAATACGCGACAAAATTAGTCGCTACGAATCAAAAATCAAACAATACAAGAGCTTGAATTTTACTATCGAAGAGGTGGAGAAACAATTGCACCATTTAAAGAGTTCCTTAAGGCTACAAATTGAAAATTTGCGAATTGCTTACCAAGCGGCAAAGATATTACGCATGTGCTATCATCAGCGCGCTCAACGTTTCCAAAGATCGCGACACCATTACTTCACTATGGTTGAATTTCAGTTTCAAGTAAGTTGCATAAATATTTTTAAGTTTCGACCATATATTATAGCTATAGCTTAATAACCATACTAATACTAAAATCTCCTTTATAGCAAGCATTAAATCTGCGCGAATTCAGCTCTGCAATCCATGTAAATCACAAATCACATACATTTCAAATAGATGTACAACCACCGAGCGGAAATAAAACATCGAATTCCAAGACTTTGTCAGGAGGCGAGCGATCGTTTACAACAGTTTCGCTCTTAAAGGGTCTATGGAGCACATCGGATCATCCGTTTTATTTTTTGGACGAATATGACGTTTTTACGGTAGGACTATGTAGTAGCATCTTTATACAATTTTAAAGATTTTACTGAAATTCACATTTCTTCACATTTTTGAGTACCGAAAACCAAAGTCCACGTTTTAAACAAACCAAATGTTATGCCACTATGTTAGAAAACGTATTGAGACCGTTCTGATTCAATTGATCAAAACCATACGGACGGTAGTCCATTAAACGTACAACCAGTACATAAGCACACTATATCAATATGACAGTTAATTTTGACCTTTCTATTGACTTAAATGATTGCCAATATATGATTCAAATGTGTTATAACGCACTTTCAGAATTTCTATGACTTAATTTTTATTTCCGCTATAAATCCGTCTTTAATGTTGTAATTAATTTACAAGTGGTTGTTGATAATAATCAAATAGAACTCTTAATGTCGTGTCGGTTCGACTCTTTTACATCATATCCTCATAAATAAATTTAGCAGTGAGATTGGTTTTTGCCACGAAAGTTGCAATGGCATTTTCGGTTTCAATAAACCATCAAATTCGGATAAGTATCGCAATAAATACTTAAGTTATTCCACTACATGTGATTAGTCGATCAGCTATGACATTACGTGACTCTTTGGTCTGCTTATTATATGCTTTCTCTGAAAATTGAATGGATTTATTAGTAGTAGATTTCAGCCTGACGGCAAAGGAGTTTGTCCTCCAAAGCGAGGTTTTCTGGTGACAACGGGCGCCTTTCTTCGGCCACCGATAGAGCTATTTCTTTGGATGCCCCAGCCATAATTTTATAAAGTTTTTCATGAATTTGATCATTTTGAACACTATTTACTTAATCTTAATTTAAATAAAATTGTTTTTTTTTTTTTTTCGCAGGATGAAGTGAATAGAACATTTATTACACAAATTCTTATTGATGAAGGAAATGCATATCAGAACCGACAATTTTGTTTCCTAACTCCACAAGATACGGAGGTTGCGGCTAGCCATCTCATCACGGTGCATAAGTATGTAAAGAAAATATTTTGCATTCACACTATGACATTAATAATACTTTATATTAAAGGCTGGATCCCCCGGTTCGCTAAGTTACTAAAAGCTAGACCTCTGTTGCAGGACAACTACACAATATAAGCACAGGAAAGCCTAATCAATTCATGTTATAAATTAGTTGTTACTTTTAATTAAAAATATTTGTTAAAGTTTAAAATCTATTATACCATTTTCAATAAAACTACCGAAACACCACCACTCACTGGTGAAACAACAAAATTCAAGAATTCATAATCATAAAATATATTTATATCTCCAATTTCAAATATAAAATTTTAGTCTTGCTGGACTTCTAGATTTAAAAGATGTATACTTTGGCCACAATTGGGATAATTGGTCAACTTTAAGAATATTACATGTATTCTCTCATGTAGGCGCGTATTTCAATACGGCATTCAGAAAATTTGGAATATAAGGTGCGCAAAATAATTAACTGGGACAAAGGCTTGGCACATTATATTTTCCACAAAATGCAAGTTTTCGTTTTCTCTCTTCCTCCTAAATTTCGGTTGTAGTATGCTTCAGCTGTAAGCAAAGAATTTTGCAAAAGTACCGTAAGGTTTTCCTGTTATGTTTATTTGTAGAAGACAACGTTGACTTTTGTGAACGAAATAATTAACTAGGACAGATTAGTTTACTTTCGTTTACGGATAGTTTTTCGCGTCAAATTATTTTTTTGTTATACAGAATTCTTTACAAACTATAAGAATAATTAAAAGTATGTGAATTTTAACAAAAATAATTATTTGTAGCAATTCTTTAATGAGAGATGAAGAGCTTGGGAGAGTATTGGCAGTGCGCAAAATGGGGATGTTCATACGCCAAAATGGGGAAAATATTGGCAGGAATAAGGTCTCGGTGGAAAAATTGTTGAAGGACCCCGAAATTCATGGAAAACCCCATTCCGGGCGCCGCCGATTGATTCACTACTGGGACAAAATACGCATTTTTATACTCTGTACATGAAATGTACAGGAGTATATTAGGTTTGCGGGAGCTGAAAAATGTAACAGGCATAATGAGGAGTGGCAAACCCCATAAAGTATATATATTCTTGATCAGCATGACAAGACGAGTCGATCTACGTCTGTCTGTCCGTCCGTATGAACAGCTGGATCTCAGACACTATAAGAGACACCAAATTTTACACAAAGATGCCTTATGCGTGTATGCTATACGAGTTTGTTTTATTTTTTGATTTCCCCCCACTTCCCCCTATGGGGGCTTTCCCGATTTTCCATTCGTATAATCGCCTATATCTCGGACACTATAAGACCTAGGAACACCAAATTTTAGTCCAAGATGCCTTATGTGAATACGCAGAAAATGTGTATTTTCCTTCCCTTTCCTTACATTCCCCCTCTCCCACGCAAATCGTAACTCCCGTAATTTTTGGAATTTCGAACTCAAATTTTACAAATGCCCCCAGTTAGTACTTATGTTTCATCATGATAGACCGATTTAGCAGGAAGTTACAGCCATAAATATATTTTTGCTGCTGCATCGCTGCTCAAGCTGCTTTGGTTGACTGCGAACATGCTTTTTTCTTAATTCTCTTAATTTATTTAATTTCTATAATTATGCTAAACATACATATGTACAGAGTATTTCAAAGTCGGGACCTCCGACTTTAGCATTTCTACTTGTTTTATTTAGTTATTTCAGTTACTGTTACTCTTTTGACATTGGTATAGAATAGCAGTTAATAAATAATAATTGATCAACACTTAATAATTCGAATTATTTACTTTCTCTCACAAATTTCGAACCATTTGATATTTCAACCTCTCGATAATTTGTAATATTTTAAGTCTCGAGTTTCGAATTAACGAGAGTCGACTGTATATACTTCGTGGGGTCTGCTACGACTCCTTGTGCCTGTTACATGCATTCACACAAAACTAGTATACCCTTTCACCCTTTGGGTACAGGGTATAAAAAGCGAAGAAATGTTAAAACCGCAATCAATTCAATTTTTCCATGGGAGAAATCCAATAATTTAGTATTCAGTTTATTTTTGTAATACACGAAGTTTAAAGTTAATCGATTTTTCATACACTTGTTTCAACCCGCTTAATTCCAGTTCCTAATTATCGCTTACAAGCTTTGGATGGTCAGACAGTTAGTCAGATTAAAATATTTATGTGTCTCTAACATGGACATAGAAATAAGCCACCTGTTATATATTTGTTCTGTTTCAACTCGTTAGTATACACTTAAACGGTTTTGGTAAAGGGTAAGATAATTTCATAGAGATGAACAAATTGTTTTTATTTGACAAATTCAGAATGTAAACATGAGAAAATAATTAATGAACAATGGAAAATTGAACGCTCAAATAAGAAAAACTATTTCGTCTGCAACCATTATTTGGTTATCCTCGGTCATGCGATGTACGGCCGCCTGGATTTCGCCACTAGAGAAAGGTTCAGTAGTTTTTTCATTGATGGCGACTGTAATACGAGCGAGGGGTAAACTTTGTTCTCGAGCCTCTCGGAATAGACGTTGCAGTCCGTTCTTAAAAACACCCAGTCGTTCTTCAGTTATGTTGGCCGAACTGGGTAAGACTGTGCCTTCAGAAGATTCGCCATTAGTCTGAGTAAAAACCGATCCGGAAGCATCAACTGGCAACGATCGACGTGTCTCTCGACGCGTTAGGTCTCCAGCGTCAGGCTGCGGTGTCTCGATGTCCTCATCGCTGTCATGCATAGCATCAGTGGCATCGGTGCGTGTCCTTTTGCTGCGGCGTGAGGGCGATTGCTGACTTGCAACAGTTGCACTATCATCTTCATCGGAGGAGGCGCCATCGCGACGCCGCTTTCCGCTGCGTTCCTTTTCCAACACCTTTTTAAAATAAGCAAACTGAACCAACTCAATGGCAGAATGTGCATCGTCAATTGTGACTGTTTTGGAGATCCGAGCACGTGCATGCGCTGTCGCCAAACGAATCAACGTCTCCAAAGTACGCGCAGTGATAGGCTGCGTGCGCGCCACATCCGTGTCAACGGCCTCTTGAGAGCGCAGGCGAGAGTACTCGTTCGCAATGGCCTCGCATGCTTGCTCGCTGAGTTTTGGTTTCATACATTTGGCAATGTGTATGTACTTTCGCATAAACTCGACGGAAAGGATCTTTTCGTGGCGTTTGCGCGACTTGCCGTGTAATAGCGCATCGTATTTTTCATAAACTTCGGTATCTTTTTTATCCTCAGAGCTTGACACAAAAGATAGCGAGTCTGCGTATGAGCTGCCCATTGAGAGCGGTTCCCCGTCAGCCTCTTTGGGGTTTCTGTAGCGATGCATACGAACCACATGATCCGAAATCATTTGGTCGACGTCGGCATCAATGACATCCAGCATGACGAAAAGCAAATCGAAACGCGAAAGTAAGGAGTCTTGCAGTCCAATGTTCTCCATGGGCGTTTTATATTGGTCGTACTAAAATAGAATTTAAATTGTGTGAATAACTTTTTGCATACGGTTATAACTATTTATAAAATACAAATATTTATTTAATTTCACATGTAGCTATCTACTGTTAGGCGCAATTTATAGACCCAGTATATATAATATTTATTAATATACGAGTAGTCTGATTTAAAATTAAAAAGCAAATATACAAAGTGTAAAACAAAGAGGACTTTTGGAATAGAGAATTTTCTGCTGGAGCTATTCGAGAGTGGCCCAGATGACTGGGGATTTTGACGAATATGTTGCCCATCCAAAATTCGTGATTATCGTCGAATAAGCCGTCAAAACCGTACGAGAATTTATCAAAAATCAGACAAAAACTTTAATTGAAATTCAATTAAATAACTTTAAAACAACGATTCATTGCATTTTAAACTGATTCTTGCTTTAAATCGCACAAGTTGACTGATAACCAAAAATTGAGCTTATCGGTCGACAAAAACTCTCATTTTACAAATCAACCACAAATTCGCTAGATTGGACCCTACGGGTTTTATCTTTTCGGAATTTACAGATCAAAGAAGAGCTGCCATCCAAAAGGCTTGTACTGACATCCTAAAGGCAAACGAAATAAAACACCGTGCATATTACTGTACGATAGCGGAATAAAAACAAGAGAGAACGCTACAGTCGAGCAAGCCCGACAGTAAAATAGCCTGTACTCTCCACAAAAAAGGAAAATAAAAATCTTTTTTTTATTTATGGCTATAACTTTCTTCAGAATAGACCCATCATGATGAAACTTGGCATATCGACACATAAGCACTAACTGGAAACTTGGCATACGGACACATAAACACACTAACTGGATGTAACTACCAAAATTGATTTCGACAAACTTGACCTGCCTGGATACCAAGTTTGGTAATTCTAGCTCTTGTACCTTCTGAGATCCTTGCGCTCATTCAGACAAACGGACGGACGGACATGGCTATATCAACTTGTCTTGTCATCCTGCTCAATAATATATATATATATATATATATATATATATATATATATATATATATATATATATATATATATATATATATATATATATATATATATATATATATATAATTTTAAAATAGCTAACTATTTATGCTAACGGAGCTATGAAATTATTTTAATGTCGCAGACCTTTTTCAAGCGAATAAGTACAGAATAAAATCTCTCTTTTTTGTAACACCCTTAATTCATACATATGATGTAGATGTATGTACATATATACATATGTAAGCGATTGCTTATGATAGAAGAATGTACTCACTCTTCCATACACAGGATTTGCAGCAGCCAGGACCGAACATCGTGCATTAAGTGACGCTACAAAAGTATGTGAAAGAATGTTTTAATTTTTGAATAATTGAATTTATGATATTGACAAACATTACCATGAATCCCGGCTTTCGAAATCGTTACACGCCCTTGCTCCATGACCTCGTGTATTGCCGTGCGATCAATATCGCTCATCTTATCAAACTCATCGATGCAGACGACCCCGCGATCCGCAAGCACCATTGCACCCGCCTCTAAACGGCGCTCACCCGTCTCCTGGTCCGTGGTGACAGCAGCTGTTAGACCAACACCACTAGAACCGCGACCCGTGGTAGGAATGGCACGAGGGGCCGTGTTTAGTACGTAGCGCAAGAGTTGTGACTTCGCCACACTGGGATCTCCAATAAGCAGCACATTTATATCGCCACGTAGGCGGGTGCCATTTGGGAGTAACTTTTCTACACCACCTAGTAGTAAACACAGGATTGCCTGTTTGACGTATGAGTGTCCATGGATGGATGGTGCCAGGCTCTTGCTCAGCAGCTCAAAGATATCATTGTTCTTGGCCAGTTTCTTGCACAGCATAATATCCTCACGTGTTATGTCCAGGTTGGTGTCCTTGCTGAGCAACGAGATGTTATTGGCCAGCAGCACGGTGCGAAAAGTGCCTGATGTGTAGCCGCCGTTTTTAGCGGGCAGGCAACGATAGTTGCCTACGATTTGCACACGGTCGCCGGGTTTGCAGCGATCAACAAGATCATCATCACACACTATGTCTACGGAACGCGGCAGTTGACCAGCTGGTGCTTTCTCGGGCATCTCCTGTATGGTGAGTGTCTGATGATCCTTATAGACAGACAAACCAAACTCTGTTTCCAGCAGATTGCCGTCCTCGTCCTTTGTCGGATAGACAGCGCTCGATGGCACAGCCTCGAATGATGTGAGATCCGTGTACTTACGTTCCAATGTTTTGCGCGTTATGGGACAAAAGTGTACGCTGCGCACCACTTTCGGATGAATTAGTGACACCTTTGTTACGATTCCCTCCACGCATACTAAATTTCCAAGGAAAATTGAAGTCAGGGAGCGAGGTGTCACATGTCGGTTGCCAAAGCAACCCTCAAATCCAACAAAGAAATCTTCATGCTGCTTCGCATAACTGGGATCGACCGTAGAGGCGTATTCCTTGAGAGCGCGCCCAAATGCCAGCTGTTCATCGGATGCGTTACTTAGCAGCCCCATAGCCCGTTGTGGGTTCTTGCGCTTCAAATCATTTATATTTACTACCAGTCGTTGACTTTTCTCGGCAATCATATCCTTTACGTGACCTGCGTAGATACCCTGGTCAACCTCATCATCCAAAAAGTCAACATATTCACGCTGTATATCTTTAATGTACTGTTCTGCATCCTGTGCCATCTTCAATTTCTTTTAATAAAGTTGGAGCGAAATTATCAATACAACCTTTCTTGATGGCAAAATGCTTTTGGCGGGAACCGTAGCTGAACCACGTCTATCTTCAGTTCACAACACTGTTTAAAGCGTCGCTAGCGATGGGTATCGACAGTTTGTTTTCATGTCACGATCTGATAGGTATTATTTTTTTTCCAAATGCATGTTTAGAATTGTTAAGGCTTTGAACAATATGTCTTCTATTTGCAATAATATACGCATTTAATGTAGAAATAAACAAACACACAAAGATATGTATACAATTAACATATATTAAACTTCGATATATTTAACATTAATAGAAATTCCTATATTATACTGTTTTATTTATGTGTAAATGCTTAAATGTATTATTTAGGCAAATAATGATTTGAAAAACATCTTGTATTTTATGGAAATAGCCGAATTTCCTCTAAGAAAAATCTAATTACGGGTGAAATTGTGCTATTGAGTTCAACAATACTGATAACATTTTATTTATTTGTCGCTTTATCGATAGAATATTGCCACTTTAGCTGGAAAGAAAAGAAGAAGAACGACCATTTTTTCGCGTGATAATTAAAAGTTTATTTAAAATTAGCTAAAGTCATGGCGTTTAATTACGAAGAAATGAGTTGGTCTGGTGAGTTTATTTGAATTACACACAATTTGTTTGTTGCCCTTTGGGATGCAGATCCATGATTCCAAAGGTGGGACCACGACTGTCCCGCAGAATATGCTTGAAAACTAAGAAATTGTGGAATGTAATTTTATTTGGCTTAATTGCAGATGTGCGAGATCAGTTTCGGAAATGGCGAGAGGAAAATGAGCGCCATAGTGAGGATGTTATACAGCTGTGGGTAGCACTTTTGGAAGATAGATTGCACAAGACGGGCAACGAGCGACATTTGATATTGGAGCAAGTTATAATAGCGGCGCTGGACACGGCACGATTCGACATCGCTACCAAGTGCACAAAGCAACTTAGTGCGGAGTTTCCCGGCAGCTTGCGTGTGCTAAAGTTCAAAGCTATGCGCTTGGAAGCAATGGAGCAATACGATGAGGCCGAAAAAATTTTGGATGCTATTATTGCCAAAGATGAAACAAATGCTGCGCCACGCAAGAGGAAAATAGCAATATTAAAGGCGCGCGGGCGCCGTGTAGATGCAATCAAAGAACTGAATGAGTATTTAAAAAAGTGAGTTGTAGTGTAGATTGTACATAGGTACCGTGTCATATTGCGATTTTTTCTGTAGATTTATGTCTGATCAGGAAGCCTGGCATGAGCTGTGCAACTTGTACTTGTCCGAAGGAGAATACGGAAAGGCTGCCTTTTGCATGGAGGAAGTTCTGCTTCACAGTCCACATAGTCATTTGATACATCAGCGGCTTGCCGACATACGTTACACCATGGTGAGTTTGCTTGTCGTGTATTACAATCAGGTAAATAAAAACAAATTGCCTTTGCAGGGTGGCTTAGAGCACATTGAAACAGCTCGCACATACTATTCCCAAGCCATCAAACTCAATCCGCACAATTTGCGTGCTCTCTACGGTCTTTACTTGTGTTGCAGTTTTGTGGCAAACTCCAGAGCTGCAGTCTCTAAGCGCAAAGAGGCGCAAAAGCTTGCCCAGTGGGCTCTTGAGCAGGTTGCAGCACTCACTGCCAGCAACTCGCCAATCAAGAACAACGATAAGCTGATTGCCTCACTCGATGCTGCCTTTGGAAATCTGGAGATCAAGGCGAATTGACACGTAGATGCGCGTTGAGTACCCAACCTCAGGTGCAAAACTGGGAGAATGTAAACAATTCCAAATATGCCCATAATATTATTTAATTTTCTTCAATTTACAACCAATTTTTGGTTATGCATAGGTGTTAATACTTTTCAAAAGTTGCGAATCCAACTGATTCAGGGTGGTTAAGACATGCAAATATTTGCATACATATAAACATAGTCAAAAGATTGGTTTTGGTGTTGGCCAAAAACTTCTTTCACTCTGACGCATTGAGACGGGTTTTCAATAAAATAGAAAATAAAATGAGTGTGTTTTTGTAGTGCCATGAAAAGTGATGCCGCTAGCCGCCTAATGCTAACTTTAATTTGAAGATAGTATCTTTATGCTCCAGAATATATTAAACACGTACAAATAAATCGTTATAATGAGGTGCTGTGTAAAATGTCAACAGCAAAAAGGGTAATGTTGAAAAGATACATATGTATGTATGTACTACATAGTGATGATTTAGAACTATTTCCTGTATATTTCTACATATACTATTTATCAAATACATTGCGCATAAGTATGTAGGTAAATATGTATGTGTTTATTTGTACATTTGAACACGAGAATTTACAATTTACTCTAATTTGCCGAGCACTTAACTGGCAATGCACATGGGAGCACTATCTACTATGTATGTGTATATATTCTTATACTCTTTACTAATGGTTGTAAAGGTATATTGCTTTGATATGTAAGTTTGTAGCACCCATAATGAAAATGGCATCGTAAATATGTGTTCTAATGTCATGTGTATACTAGTTATTGAGGTGCTACCTTCCGCCACGTTTTGCTTTTGATGGGCACCGACGAGACTGACCATGCCAGACTCCTACATACTTATATGATGTGTCACAGGAACAGTATTATTTGAATACAGATGGTTATAAAAAACAGATTTGATTTTTTTTTTTTTTATATTGATTACGGACAGAGTAGGGTATGGACCTGTGATCGTGGAGGAAACGGTGAAGAGTATATTGCTTCGGCGCAGCCCTGTGTGTGTATGAATATATGTACATACTTACATATCGGTAAACATTTAAGTTTTTAGGTGGAACCATACATAAGTTATGTATCTACATATGTATATGCAGTTGAGTGCGAGAGTACATTTTATACTGATAAGCTTGTTTTTGTGACAAATCGAGCATACATCTTACATGCACACACTAATGTATACATGCATATATAAATACTAAACGCACTTACTCGTAGGTACATACATACATACATATGTATGTGCGCATGCTCGTCAACAATAGGGGCGCACGGGGACTATAAATAGCAACCTAATACTACAAAGTGACTGGGTTAATGGACTCAACAGACCAGCGGAATATGTTCATACTACATATACTTGTATGTATGTATGTAAATTTATAAATATGTACATCTGTATGCGGTGTGCAAGTCAGCATTAGGCTGCTGGCTCTTATCAGTTTGTAGATGAGCCGTTGCTATAGCCAACGCCTCCGCCCCATCCCCCTTTTTTGCGCTGTTTCATTCGAAATAGATCTTTAAAGCTGAGAGTTGGGGAGGACGCCTTACTGCCATTTAGAGTTTGGTGTCGATTATCCGATGCGGAGGCGCTTGTCGACTCATGCCCAGCAAAGGAAGTACAGGAAGAAGAGCTCACACGTCCAGGAATGTGAGGACGTCCGCCTAGAGCGCAACGCGGTATGCCATCCAGATACTTCAGATTAGGCAGCACTTGCAAACAATACAGGCGGTAGTCTATGGGGAGATTGCAAAGGCCCGGATTGCCCATAATTGAAAGATGCTCTAGAGTTGGGCATTGGCGCTCAATGCGATGAATCCAGTCGGATACGATTGAAATATTACAATTGTTTATCCACAAGATGCTTAAGCTGGGCAGATACGGCAGTGTGCTAACGTCCAAATTTTCATTTCTGTCGAGAATCAGCGTGTGCAGCTCCTCAAAGAATGATAGAAACGACAGATTGCGAAAGTTATTGTGACTGAGATCCAGGTACTTGGTTTGCGCGGCGAACTTATCGGCGATGCGACGAGGGATTGTGCGCAAGTTCTCGTATGCGAGCGATATGCGACCATTCTCCTCGAGAATACCTTCGGTGAAGGAAGCTTCACTGGTGTAGCTGCTTCCACTAATGGAGCACGGGTTCGTAGAGATCATTTTCTCGCCGTAACCGTAGGCGTCGTTGTAGTTGCAGTCGTAGTCGATCGCCGGGCAGAGACTCTCGAGCGATTGAAGATTAGCGCACGTCTTCAGCAGGTCGTACAGGTAACTACCGCACGGGTGGAAAGGGAAAAATTAATGATGCAGTTTTAATTTGTTTAGTTTAAATACCTTTAACCTACCTGTCTTCCGAGTGCGAGCGTCCAGAAGTCTCAGACATAATGACCGGCAATCATAGCTGTAAGCGAAAATGATCTTTATGTACTTATGTAAATGACAAAGACTGAGAACTAAGTGTGAACTCTTCCTGTCGTGCCAACTATTGTTTGATTTTAAAGAGTGTCCTGTGCGCAAGAGTGCTGCAAGATTTACTGAAAACTGGCTTTATTGGACCAATGTTTATAGCAGACTGGAGAGACATCACTCGCTTACTAGCGAGGCAAGTATATGCGTACACACATATGTAAAAAAATACATATATAAATACGCATGTATGTATATATACACTCTTATCTTTAGGAGAGGAATGCACACATTCATATACATATGTACAAGTACATGTGTATGTACATATTCAAATAAGATGCATGCGTGTTTCTACATATGTATGTATGTATGTACATATGTATGCATTTATTGTATTTACATTTTGATTGTAGACACGATACCATTGTTTTGTCTTATTGTGTCCTATCAGTTAGACAGAGAATTTCAGATGTCTGATGACTCTTGTAACGCGTGGAAGAAGATTGCCGTTTCATAGTTTACATCAATAAAATATTGACAGAAAGCTTTTAGGAGAAGTGTTTCTTGAACTGAATACAATTTAATTAAATAAAATCAATTTTTTTGTTTGTTTGAGTGGGTGGATACAGGGTATTTAAGATAACTCGATTTTTGATTATTATTATTATACCACAGTGGTATGCGAGTCCGGCTCTTGTAGGTACATATAGTATATCCTGTACCCGACACTTCGTTCACAATCAGACAAGTCACTCTAATTGCAAAACTTGATAAAATGTTCTGTCCTAGCTCTTATAGTCTCTGAAATCCAGGTGTTCATACCGAAAAGACAGAAACCCATTACTGAATCGATGTCTTGCTCATCAAGAATAGTAATGTTATGAGGTCTGCCACGTCTTCTGCCTGTTGTATTATTTGCTTTGCACAATCCTTGTATCTTATAATATGTATGATTAATAATAGGTACGTACTTCTTCTTTGTCAAACTATATGTACCGACATATATGCAGTGGCTTATACCTTCATTAAACCAATACCTTTCTAAAAATACTTGATATAATTCAAAAATGTATCAATTAAAAATTCAGACATGTAATAATATGCGTAGAGAAGAGGAACCCGAACGAAAATAAAATAAAATTATCCACATTTTTAGTTGTCTTGTCATTACTTATACATCTTCTTTAATTTTTAAAGGGTATTTATGTTATGGCGTTCTGGCTTATTGCCTGGAGATTTATAATCCATTATTTTCGAGACACATTTTTCCACATATTGAATGATTTGAAATATATTTAATAAGACAACCTTCGTAGCCGAAGTCATCGATGATGAGCTCAGAACAATGAGGTTACTACTGTTTATACTCTGTACATAAAATGTACAAGAGTTTATTAGGTTTGCGGGAGCTGAAAATGTAACAGACAGAAGGAGGCATGGCAGACCCCACAAAGTATATATATTCTTGATCACCATGACGAGACGAGTCGATCTAGCCCCCCCCCAGACCATTGAGGAATCACTGAGCGACGACTGTCTCCGGGTTCACGAGTCGATGAGCGCCACAGGGCGATGTTTTACCCCTTTTATAGAACGTAGCAGTCAACGGATAACTGTGTTAGATTAATAGTGTATGCGGATAACGTACCTACTTCTGGTTGGACACTGGTTAATGAGCAATTACATACCCCTTACACTTATGTGCTCAGAAAGAGAAAAAGGCAGTGTTTTTTTTCTGGTACTACTCCATCCATGCTCACTTCCATATTCCGCACAAACCTGTCTTATCACACTGAAAAGTTTTAAATTGATACAAACAGTAGTCAGCGGTTTCAGAAACTTTCATTTCCGGATGATAGACAACTGTATAGCGGCATTAGAACGCGGCAAATAATGGCCCAGATGTGCTAAACAAATATTTTCAACAAATAATTAGTTTTAACAAAACACATAAGCATCAAGATTTAGAGCATTGCATGGAATTACAAAATTGCTGATTAAGTAAGTTCTCCATTTTAGAATCGAAGAATTCAACGAGGAATTATGAAATCTATATTCTAATCTCGCCAATAAAAGAAAAGCGTAAATAGTAGCTTATATACTGTTGCAAACGTACTATGGTATTCGGATTAAATGCCATATACTTATACATTACCTACAGTCGGATCAATATAGGTTTACCAACTTCTACCCAAAACCAGATCTTTCTCTTGACAGCTATACAAGAAAATAGTTCAATTTGATTTTAAATGAAAGGTATATGTAGTTGCTATGGCAGCTATATGTTATACTGGTCCGATTTGATTTGTTTTTGAAAAACGATAAGCTTGCTGTAGCCAAATATCGCCTATTTTTTGGTCTTGGCTCTTAAACTGAAATTTAACAGCAGTAACGGCTTTTTGAAGAACGAGTATAGCTATGTATTTTTGTCTAAATTAAAGCTTTTTGCCGCTCACTTCCTAATCATGTTGCTATTGACAACCCAGCTAAAGCTCTCTCTATGAGCTGACAATGTAAAAAGCAGCGATTTGTTGTGAAAAGCGTTGTTATATAATTCGGGCAAGCCTCCTAACAGTCTGTTCGGAGTCCGAGCAGCTGATGCTCGCGGCCAAACACTCGGGGCTGGGAAGCTCTTGCTCATAATCATAATGCTTGTGGGGGCAACTCGCTCGCTTGGGGCTCTTTTTGGCGAGACGGGTGGAGCTCTGGGGGGCAGAGCTAGTCACTTAACTGCTTAGCTCTGAGGTCTAGTGACTTTGCATATTGGCGAGTATGTGTCAGTCTGCCTTCATGCTTAGACCTCGGTAGTTCAGTGCTGCGAGTGAAGCGCGTGGCCTCTCCACGACATAGCAAACAGTCTAACAAGATCGACTACAACTAGTGCCTGGTGCTGGTGCCTGGTGCCCCCTACTCCAACCCAACTAATTCATTGGCATTTTATGCGTGAGTTTGTACGCGAGCTGTTGACAAATCGACAAGTGCGACTCGGCCTTGCACGGGCGTTTAAAAATCAAATCGGTAATAACAAAAACACGTCAACTTTTATATTAGCAGTTGCAGTGCAATTTCAACAAAAACAAAAATACATACAATACATATGTATGTATGTATTTACTAAGGCTCCGATCTGATGATTAGCATAACTTGGTGGTTGCGCCGTTTATAAATACATACATACATACACATAGCATCATATGCATATACATACATACTTATGTATGTATGTATGTACGTTAATTTGTACAAAGGCGGGTATGTACATACATACATACATATGTATATACTTTAGATATGTATTGTACATATGTAGATACATAAATATGTACAGAAGTAAGTATCTCTTCAGCGTTCTAAAAACACAAAAAAAATACGTAATACCCAAAACTCGTTTAGTGTTAAAAGTTCTTATCACGAAACAGCGTGTGTGGGTTACCTCCAGTGAATTTTTGGTGTTGATTTATTTGCCTTCGGGTCGTGTCTTTGAACAAATTTTGCATTCCACTCTTTCGCTGCTCATTGGCGATACAGTAAATATAGTATGTCTTAAGAATTCTGAATAAATAGAAGCGCAGTTTTTGTTCATATGCAGTTCATATGTATGTATTACTTTAACTCGTCGTTTTGCTGAATCCCAAAATTGTTGTAGCTCGTGCGTCAGCGCTATCGAGTTTCCACTGCGCTCTCGTCGTTTCGTTTGTTGTGGAAATTGTCGAACTCAGCTGATAGATGGCGAACTAAGTTCATTGATTAAAAGCACAACTGACGTTGTCATTTCTTTTCTTGTCATGCCAATCTTATCAACTCAAATGGTAGCACATTTGTATGTATATAGTGCATATGTACGTATATAGCAACAACAATGGAAAGGAGAACCAATTAAAAATACCCATACAGAGAAACGTTTGTAGCTCTCTGTATCTGTAGCGGCCCGTCGATTGTCAGCAAAGACCCGCTAAAACAAAAGCTACAATACATACACATAAATATGTACACAGATATGTATATACATATGTATGCCTCTGTATAATATACATATGTATTAACAATGAAATGTATTGTATGTACAAGAGCGCATAATTGGCTCAAAGTCCGGCACTTGGCTAGAGTTCCTAGAATGGGCTGCAGTTCGGTTGGCGGCGTGCTTGAAAATTGTTGCGGCGGTGACTCTAACGAATACATCTAGGTATATACTTGTATGTACATATGTATATATGTCTGTATGTATGTATATATGCATGTATGCCTGGACGAGTCATCAGCTAATATTTTGTGTTATGTTAGTGAGTGATGCTAAAAAAAAACTATCATTGCTTGGTGTCAGAGCAAAAACGGAAGTGTAGGCCCGATTTGCATATGTTAGTATGCGAGGAACAATTTTTATTGTTTCACTGTACAAAAATATTACAATGAGTTCGATCTCTTCCAAAACTTAAGCTTAGATATTTACTTGTATGTTTGAATGAGTGTGCGAGCTGAGATCACCTTCCGTGCCCCAGAAAGCATTACATCAGAGCGCGTCAAGATTTTGTATCTTGACCCCATAGAGTACGAGTATGTATGTATAGTTACTTGTATATCTTTGATCCGTGTAAAGAGAAGTAAGCTACCAATCTTGATATTGAGCCTCTCATAGTCTTTGAACACTATCCACTTACGTCAACACTACCCATAATTCCATTTCCAAAGCCACATAAACTAGTTTTTCGCATACATATTTTGTATGCAATTTTATAACACCATTTGACATTTAATACCATCCCGACTAATCCCAAGAAGGTATTAGCGAAATATTATTAAACTGCTTCTTCCCCCTGTTTCTGCTATGCGCGTGTATGCGCGTGTCGAACATTGGTTACAGGGCATTTCATAGTCGACTATAACAATATCTTAGGTTTTTTCCGTGTCATGCTTGACGTCACATTATCTGTACAATTTTTGCAGCATCTGCTTTATAGTATTTTCTGATGCTTCATCTTTCTCTATAGAAATCAATATTGAACATCCGCATCTATAAGTGATACTTGTGATACTAGTCGTCTCCTTGAACTATACGATTTCTATAGTTATAACCAAAGGGTGTTGTGCTTACTTGATGTACTTTTCAAAAGGTTCCTGTAAATTGAAAAGTTTCCAATAAATCCCAATTTATAGGTTGGGACTATTTGACACTTTCAAGCAATGTTTTTTTTTTTATTTTTCATTACGACACTTTTTTAATTATGTATTCATGAGTATTTATTATGGTAATGTTGCTATAGTTGGTGCAACAAAGTTTTTTTAGTTAATCGGCTGTGTTCTAGGAGGGCCCTGCAGGGTATACAAGAGCCGACTTAATCGTTCTACCCGTTTATCTATATGGTTTTTTTTTTTTTTTTTGAATAAATAAGAAATGTTTTCTGTGCATATCCACGCCATTTCTTGAAATGGAAAAGGGTAACAAGTAAGTACTTCTACTGTCCAGCGTTAGATCAAATCGGAAGTGCACCTTATATACCTGAATTGCCGTAAAGGTGAACGATACTAATACATACTATATGTAACTGTACCTCCCATACTTCTTTTTAATCAGTTTTCTGCACTTTCATATATTCAATGCCGTGGTTATTCTACTAGTGTACTGCTGCAATATCATGTTTACTTCTTGACCAACAAATGTTTTTTTCAGAACCAGAACTATGATTAATTGGTTATTGTTGTGGGGGGCACCTCTCGCCCCACAGAGAACCTTCAAAAGAAATTGAACCACGCGCACGCACAGTCGTACATCGATAAATAACGTGACAGTGTCAGGTTAAAGATTGAGCCACAAAGCGTATATACATACATATAACTTATATTTACTACACTTACATATTCATGCATACATGGCCTGAGTGTAGAATCAGGTGACACTATGTGTCTGGGAATAATATGTACCAACTTTCGGCTTTTATTTCTTCACATTACTTTTACATACAAATGCATGTAACTCAGTTTGCTTGTGTGAGAGTCAACTGCCAAAAATGATAAAGGCGACAGGGTCATACAATCAGTTGATTGTTGACTTAATTTTGTCACATATGTGTGTAGGTATACCCATATATAAAATATACATGCATATTTCCTGGCGACCGCTATCGGTTCGTTTTACTTCATTTAATGTTCGCGTGTCGAGAATGTTAATTAGATTTGCGTTTCGCAGCCTATAGGTGAATATCTTTAAGGTTAACGCACTGAATACTCGCGGAATTAAACACACTTACATAGGTACAATTTGTTCGCTTATTTTCTCATATTTTTCAACAATTAATCCAAGAAAACTATTTTTTTAAATGATTATTTACCTATGAACAATATTTATTAATTGCAATGACATTTGATAATGCAGAATTACATTTCAATTTATTTTTTCACACAATTTATATGGGCATTTGCAATCTGACGTGATACGACTAAATACATAACTATATACATGAAAGTGTAGCATTTTTAAAAAGTTTTTGATATATTAATTTTGTAGTAATTTAATAGCACTATATTCAGTATTAAAATTATAGCATTCGACCTTAAAGTATATAAAATATAAGCAATAAACGGTCCTGATGTGGGATGTGGGTTTTGACTTGGATTACAAAATTGCAAAACTCTGTGAATTGGGAACGACTTTTTGCTTAAATTGTTTTCAGTAGGCTTTAAATAAATATAAGTTTATTATTCAAGTTGTATAATTTTAAAATCTCTACTTGTTTTCACGTAATCTGACGTGATGTGACATAAATTTCCTTTGGTAAATTTGTAGTTAAAATTGTTCTTTAAACATTATTTAATTGTAAGATAATGAGTTTTACCCATTTGTCTGCACCTTTGCCGTGAGAAGTTGCAAAATAATTCCAATCAAAACCTTTGCATAAAAAATCAGAAGCAAAAAAAGGAAAACTTCGTGCAAAGAACTTATATTTAAGCAAGCCGCAATTGAAAGTAAAATGACAATAAACAAAATACCATGCAATGAAAGTATTTACAATCTGACTTGACTTGACACACATTTGAAAGTCAAAATAAAAATAAATATTTGCTTGATAACCAAAGTTTTCATAACAATTAGATAACTTTATTAAGCTTAAACCTTTATTAGAAATAATGAGAATAAATATAATTTTTCTGACGTGACGTAACATTAGAAGATGGGTTAAAGCAAATCAAAAATTTACAGTTAATTGATATTGGCTTGCTTTTTTGCATTTTTTCCAAGGTATGTTGCTGTTTCAAGCATAAGAGTGCAATTGCACATTAACTATTAGAATCGTAAATGGCAAAGATAAGATGGTCTTAAAATATACAAAACTGGCCAAAATATGAACTTAAACTATATTTCGCCATCGCAAACTAGCTTTAAACTCATTAATTTAATAAAAACTGAACATTTCTCTTCAATATTAAAAGTAAATAAAAACTATTTGTAACTTTTAATTTGTTGGTGGGCATGGTGGACCAAATGGAAATGCCCACATTTAATTCCCTAATGTTATCCCAAGCATGTTTTTTGTCATCAACAGACCCATTCTTAATTCCATACTTTCCTTTAACGTTTAGTTACTCTTCTAACTTGGCACCCCTTCAACTTAAACTTAAAGAACCACTGTTCAGCTTTTACAAACCTCATTGTCAATTAAATCAATCAACAAGCAAATTAAACATCTAAAAGATTTTTCTGTTTTCAAAATGCAATTGCAGATAAGTGATCTTTGAATAATAGCCACAATGACTGGGTCTGGTAAGTATACCTACTATATACAAGTACATATGAAATTGTTGCGGAAAATTTACAAAATTCCTTTGTTTTGGACAAAGTAGTGGGATTTTAAATGAGAAACGAAAGGGGTGGTTCGCAGTTGCTATCAGAATTTTGGAATGATGTTCGAGTAACAAACAACTAAGAGCGGAGGGGATAGGTAGATGAGAAGATAGATGAAAAATACTAGGTTGTTGAAATTCTTCATGAGTTAATGTTCCAATTCAACAAGCTTCAGCTGCCACATTGGTAGGAGGAATCTTGTTTTATAAATTGTAAATAAATTATTTATAAATACAAAACAAAAAAACAAAATTGTTGCATACTTTTAGGGCCTGTCAGTTTTTATACCCTGTACCCGTAGGGTAAAAAGGGTATATTAGGTTTGTGCAAAGTATGTAACATGCAGAAGGAAGCATCTCCGACCCCATAAAGTATATATATTCTGAATCAGCATGACGAGAGAAATCGATCTAGACATGTCCGTCCGTCTGTCCGTCTGGATGAACGCGAGGATCTCAGAAACTATAAAAGCTAGAATAACCAAAGTTGGCACCCAGATTCTCCTAGGTCCGAGAAAGGACGAGTTTATTTTATTTTTTGGAATTTTCCCCCCCTTCCCCCGCTACAGAATTTCGTCAATAGCGTCCACATTTCAAATGCTACCTAAACCAAACTTTGCACACATAATTTATATATAATTGTCTACTGTTGTTCAAAATTTTCAATTTGGTCAATTCTAAGAAAAGTTATTAGCGAAACAAATTCTCGCCTGTACAACCCCCACAAACTGCAGCAACAAGTTCGCTCTTCTTCTTCTTCTCTTTGCTGCTGCTATGGGCGCATATAACTCAGCGACGGAAGTTTACCTGGGTACAGGGTATTACACTGTCGGGCTTGCTCGACTGTAGCGTTCTCTCTTGTTTGGATTAATATTGGAATTCGCATGTATGAACTTAAATGTTATAATAACAGCCAAGAAATGTGTTTATAATAAAAGCAAGTACTTTATCGTTTACTTTTGCCAGTGCATGATCCGAAATGGAGCCTGGAACGTCGTGAATCCTCGGGTCATTTGGTCTGGCGTAAGGAGTCGCCAAGATCCAAAGTACGATTTCGATTTGATGTTGAGGTTCTTGAGTTCGAGAAGCATCCCCACGAGGACCTAGACCATACAGAGCAGAAAGATCACCACTTCCCGACCACAAGTTTGACGGCTACGATCGCTTTGTGTGCGACGTGCGTAGCCGCCGTTGCTGCATCCCTATTTCTGCCATGGTATCTGATGGAGAAAGCCAACTCATTTTAAAGTCTGTTTTCTCAGAAAGCTCACACTTAAGTTTTAATGTCCACATACATTTTTGACGGTATTAAGAAATCTTATGTAAATATTTGTATGTAAAAATCTAGATATCAATTTGTAACTTGTAACTGTAAATATTGTCTACATGTAAATAGACGTACTCGTAGTGACGCATCGGTTCGGAGGGTGCAGGCAAAATGTGTTTGGAAATGACTGTGATGCCAAGCAATGTTAAGAATTGGGTGCGACGTGTAAAATTGATATATTAATTGTATTTTAGATTGTAAAAGTATCCATACGTTTAATATTTTTAAAAAAGAAAATGCAGTCTAATATTTTCTTCATGATCGCAACTTTAATTTAGTAGGTAATAAAAACTTGCCAAGCGCTTTAACAAGAATTCCGAATTCAAACCACCACTCTTTTTCTAAAATGGCAGATGTCGCATTTCGGGCATATAACATACATACATACATATGTATGTATGTACTTATGTACATATGTATAGCAAATATTGAACAACCTATAGCAGAAGCAATAATGTGTTATTAAATCTCATAACACACAACGGCCAACATGATTCGCGATGATCCTTTTCGTGGAAATTTCACTTCAGTGCCGCTCAGCACATTTAAGGGTATCTTTCGACGAATAACAGTGGCTTCCCGTTTTCCCATTCCTGCGATTTTTGCATTTTAGCGTTTGCAACCCTTATTACACAGCATCCTCGATGACGGCTCTAACCCTGTATGGGGCAAATGAGTCATTTCTGATGCGCTATTAAATTCGTGCTCTTTTATGGACATGCTAAAGCATTTTCCTGTCTAATTAAATGTTTTACAATGCGTCCATTGGTCGATGCTGGTCAAAAATGGCGGAACGGCACGTAGTGGCATTTATTTCGTTCAACCCCGGTGCAATATTATCTTGGTCGGGGGGTGTTTCATCTGCTAATAAAATCAATTAGTAACTGATTATATGACTTACGGTTGTAAAGTTTCAATATTACCAGATAGAAACGTTCGTTTACAATTTACGGTAAACATTTTATAATTTTCCAAGAAAAGGTTAGGAGAATTTTGTTTATTCAAAACACAAAAAAATTGAATCGAATATAATAATTTGTGCTGCCCAGAATAATTAGAATAAAATTGTTCTCAACCCACAACATTCCTAGCTATAGCCGTATCTTCTTATTTCACATAGACTCGGTTGTATACATCTAAAAATACACTATAATGCGTTCCTATAAATATACTCTAAACCTGAAAGGTTCAAGAGGTTTGTGCAAATGGTAAACGCAGAATAAGGTGTGGCAGACTCAAAAATTTGTATATATTCTTGATCAGCATGATAGGATGAGTCGATTTAGCGCTGTCCGACTGTCGGTCCGCCTGTCTGTCCGTATGAACACTTGGATCTCAGAGACTATAAGAGCTAGAGACACGATACTTTGTATAAATCTGCATTATGTGTGTACGTGAATAAAATTAATATTAATATTACAATTTAATTGTTTTCCGTTTTCTTTAAATTTCTATAATTATTTTACACATACAAGGTGTGTTCCAAAGTAAACAGGACTTTAAAAAATAAAAACAGAAGAAATGGTTTTTTCGGCAAACTCAATTTATTTTATTCAAAATAGTCTCCTTCTGCTTCAATACAGATTTTTGCACGATCCAAAAGCATGTCGAACAAGTGTTTAAGCTCGTTGGCCGGTATGGCCGCCAGTATGCCGGTGCAAGCCTTTTGAATGGCCTCTACGTCTGCATAACGCTTTCCTTTCATGGGCAAATGTTTTTTTCCGAAAAGGTAGAAGTCGCGCGGTGCCATATCAGGTGAATACGGTGAGTGGTTAATGGTTAAAATGTGATTTTTGGTCAAATTATCGGCCTTCGAATGTTGGATTCTGAGCAATTTGGTCGTCAGTCAATTTGTGCGGAACAATCCGTGCACACACCTTTCGTAAGTCCAAATGATCGGTCAAAATGCGGTCAAAATCGATGTTTTGGAGATGTTCAATTCTATTTCAATCAATTTCAATGATGATTTCGGCTGATTTTTGATGAATTCACGCAAAGTTTCGAAGGAATTTTCGGTGATCACGAATTTTGATTAGCCCCCATGTTGATCGTCATTTATGTCCGCACGACCACTTTGAAAACGTTGAAACCACTCGTGCACTCTGCTACGGGATGGGCAATCATCGCCATAAACTTGTTCCATCAATTGAAACGTTTCGGTAAAAGCTTTACCAATTTTCAAACAAAATTTAATGTTGGCTCTTTGTTAGAAGCTCATTTTCGCACCGATAACACAAACATACTGACACTTAAAACGCTATAACTTCACTTCCAATCGATGAAACGTCATGAAATTCTCACTGGACAATCGATATCTTTATCGATTCAGATTGAGATAGGGGCGCTAGATTCAAAAAGTCCTGTTTACTTTGGAACACACCTTGTACATAAGTTTAATGAATTATAAATTCGGGGCCCCCAAAAAATTTAAATTTTGATTAAATAATGCACGATGCATTTAAAAAATAACTTATGAATATGATCAATGAAAAACTTCAATAAATCCAACTCAGATCCATTTTAAGGGGGAATAGTGCATCATAATAATGAACGTGTGGTCGACTTTATATGACCAAAATTTTTGTAGGAGGGCAACGGCCCCCCCCTTACCCCCCTGCCAACGCCCTTGAAAATACCAATAATAATAAGTGCTCTCTCTTTCTCTGAGGATGCCTTAGAAGCAGTTTCAGAATGCCTTTCTTTACCTGCTGACTTTGACACCAATAAAGATTCTACAAGGCAAGTCGGTTTAAATAATCGGCACGGCCTATACCTACTACATACATACTCGTATTGACAAAGTTGACTTATAATGAACATCTTAAGTTGGCTCGTGAGAATGTGGTATTAGAAATTGAGTTATTGGAACTATGCAGAGAGCGTGTTTTGCTCGGCTAATCGACGTGAGGTACACGAGAGAGATAACAGCCTCAACAAGATAAGATTCGTATATTTCGTATGTATGTAGTGTTGTTATTGTTTTTATTTTTTTATGTATGTATTTTTATTGTTTCTTTGATTGTGCACGATCGCCCATAAACGAGTGAATCAGTTTGTTGAACGCGCCATTCGAGTGCGGACGTCTGTGACGGTATCGGCATTTGACTGCCAGAAAAAAGAACAGAACAGCAAGAAGAAGAAGCAGGAGAAGAAGAAAAACAAACAGACAAACACCAGTTAGCAAGTGGTCGATCCCGACGCGAACTTGTTTGAGACGACTGATCGGAGGCGGACCTTCCGATTCAGCAGCTCATTTGTCCCGGTTGTTGTCCGTAGTAGACTTAAACGACCAGTAACCGACTTACCCGTGCTCGCGCTCTTTGTTTACAGCCGATCTCGTGGCGTTATAAAAGTGCATAGAACTAAAGATAAAAACAAACAGAAATAAACACAAAGCTAGCAAAGAAAACAACTCAGCATAGAACCTGTTTCGATCTGGTGTAGATGTAAGTCCAATTCCCCGAAGGTCATTTGCAAATGACGTTGTCGTCGTTTGATTTGAAATTTTTTGATATTGCTCACTTTTTAAAATTTGTATTTGCAGTGCAACTGAAGGCAAAATGAGTAAAAGTAAAATGCCGGAGACTACGCTTGCTGATCTGAGCTTGGCTGATAAGGTAAAATGATAATCGCCTATAATTAAGATAGAGGTAGGAGTAGTTCAAACACGAGTAGTAGCAGGTAGTGGGAATTGGCGTACAAAATACACATTTCACATTTTCAACAGGTTATCTTTAAATTGGTGGATTTATTTGCATTCCCATTTTCAATACCGTGCCGTTAATGAATGAATTTATAACTTAAACAAAAGCGCATTTCGATCGTCGATCACGGCGATTAAGCAAACAGCACGTGACGAAGTGGGAAAGAGCACGTCTTTTTGAACGTAAATTCGACGAGTCAACAAAACTGGTGCAAATGGCAAACTAAGCCAGTATACTAACGTATGAATTTAATATATTTTTGTATATTTGTACGCCCGAATTAACACATGTATCTACTTATAACATGTGTATGCATTGTTTCCAATATACTTGAATATATGTACTAAATAGATACGTAATGGGTACTGTAAATATTTGTGGAACGAATGTTCAATAATTTGTGTGTTTACACCTGCGTTTCCATTAGCTCTGCTAGTTCGATTTAGATTCGCCTAGTATTTGGTATCATCAATATCAATTGCTACGACGAATTATCACAGAGCTGCTAACCGATCCCAATTGCCAGCTCCGACTGCTTCCATTCCCCTGGGCTGGCTTCAACTGGTACAGCACAGTCATAAATATTTTCATTAATAAACCAATTTATCACTGTACTTAAATTTGTTGTGGAAACTATGAGCTGTACCAATAGTACAGGGGTAGTAGTATAGTCGAGACAAATTGTTTGACTTTTGGGGGAATACCAAATGCAAGGATCGTCATGTAAGTTTTGTTTTCATATTTCCTCAAGGAATAAGATAGTTTTTAAAATGCTATATAGCATACTTTTTTCCCCATTAACCATAAACAAAAGGCTAAACAAACCTCAAAAGCAAACTTAACATTCAATTAAGTACATTAAATACATACATCAATTTTGGATGGCCATAACAATAGGTGTGCCTAACCATCTAAGTAAATAACAATGAAGTTTCGTTAGTTAGTGCAAAAGACAAAGGGACTGTAATCTTTATAAGTGATATAAAAATTACAAAATACTGATTATTTTCTTAATTTTATTCATTCGCTCACAATATAATGATTAATTTTGAGTTTTACTTTAAAACAAAACTAATAATCATTATCTTTGAACAACAAAATAAAGCTCATAAAATAATGATTATTCTTTAAGTTTTATAACTCCTTAACTCCTTAGAAAAATATTTCCAGGCAAAGTTACAGATTGAGTTTTATTTTTGATAAAAACATTAAAATTCAATGAATAATCATTATTTTATGAGATTTACCTATTTTGTTCAAAAATATTTTTATTTGATTTATAAAACAGAAGGTTAACAATTAATTCTTAACCTACTTGAATTTGGAGCACTGCTGCCAGGGCTTTCAGCTCGCGTACAAGTATGTATGATTTTTATCATATTTCGGAATAAATGCCTATATTTGTGAGGAATTCTGTTATTGATTGTATGTTGTCTATTGTTGGTGATCTTAGAGCGGTTTCTGGTGTAATGTTCATTTGGGATCTGTAAGGTGTCAGGTTTGGACAGTTAGTAATGAAGTGTTGTGCAGTGATGGTGTAGGTGTTGCAGAATTTGCAGATTGGAGGATCCTGTTTTTGGAGTAGATGTCTATGAGTGAGAGCAGTGTCCGAGACGAAGTCGGGTAAAAGCTCGCATTGGCGTAATTTTGGGTTCAGGTTGTTCAAAAATAATGATTATTAGTTAAGTTGTAAAGTAAAACTCAAAATTATACATGAAATTTTGGTGAAAATGCATATATAATCTTAAACAAGAGAGAACGCTACAGTCGAGCAAGCCCGACAGTGTAATACCCTGTACCCAGGTAAACTTCCGTCACTGAGTTATATGCGCCCATAGCAGCAGCAAAAAGAGGAAGAAGAAGAGCGAACTTGTTGCTGCAGTTTGGGGGGGTTGTACTGGCGAGAATTTGTTTCGCTAATAACTTTTCTTAGAATTGACCGAATTGAAAATTTTGAACAACAGTAGACAACAATTATATATAAATTATGTGGACGCTATTGACAAAATTATGTAGCGGGGGAAGGGGGGGAAAATTCCAAAAAATAAAATAAACTCGTCCTTTCTCGGACCTAGGAGAATCTGGATGCCAACTTTGGTTATTCTAGCTCGTATAGTTTCTGAGATCCTCGCGTTCATCCAGACGGACAGACGGAGAGAAATCGATCTAGACGAACGCGAGGATCTCAGAAACTATAAAAGCTAGAATAATCAAAGTTGGCATCCAGATTCTCCTAGGTCCGAGTAAGGACGAGTTTATTTTTTTTTTTTTAATTTTCCCCCCCTTCCCCCGCTACAGAATTTCGTCAATAGCGTCCACATTTCAAATGCTACCTAAACCAAACTTTGCACACATAATTTATAAATAATTATCTACTGTTGTTCAAATTTTATTCAATTCGGTCAATTCTAAGAAAAGTTATTAGCGAAACAAATTCTCGCCAGTACAACCCCCCCAAACTGCAGCAACAAGTTCGCTCTTCTTCTTCCTCTTTTTGCTGCTGCTATGGGCACATATCAGTGACGGAAGTTTACTGGGTACAGGGTATTACACTGTCGGGCTTGCTCGACTGTAGCGTTCTCTCTTGTTATTTTTGTTTTTGAAGATTAGATATTCTGAAAGGTATTGTTTTCCTTGAAGAATTATGAAGAAATAATTGAAAACTTTTGTACAATAAATTTACAAGTATTATTTTTCCATGAGTGTAAATTGACGTAAATCGAAATATTCGATCAGGTTAACGTTCAAATAGTTAATAGGCTTGTGCCTTTTTTAGGATTTTATTTGAAAAACTCAGGTGCTTCAAAGTAAACATGTTTGTTCTGGAACCATTAAATTAGCAACATTTTTTTATTATTATTTTTAAAAAATAGCAAAACAAACAAGTACAAAATTTAAAGACGGGTGCGCCGACTTTGAAATATTCTGTACATATGTTTAGAATAATTATAACAAGAAAGGAATGCTAAAGTCGAGCAGGTTCAATTAAATTAATTTAATTAAATTAATTACGGACTGACGAACATGGCTATATTGACTCGGCTTGTCATGCTGATGAAGAATATATATACTTTATGGGGTCTACCACGCCTCCTTCTGTGTGTACCTTTGGGTACAGGGTATAAAAATGAAAAAAATTAAGAAAATTAAAAAAAATGTTGATCGATTTTACCTCTCTCGGTATTTGAACTCACGTAAAGGGTATATAATTGCTCATTTACAAAGCAATTGCGTCTATGTGAGTGTATGAATGTCTATGCGCGTCTATTCGTGTCTGTGTGAGCATGTTTGCAGTCAACCAAAGCACCAACATCAACAACAGCTGGGGGCAGGGCTTGGGCAACAAATATATTTATGGCTACAACTTCTTGTTAAATCGGTCTATCATAGTAAAACTTGGCACGGATACATAATCACTAATTGGGGGTACTTGCCAAATTTGAGTTCGAAATTCCAGGAATTACGGGAGTTAGAGAAAATCACAATTTGCGTGGGAAAGGAGGTGGAGGGGAATTCCAAAAAACATTCCGGAATTTATTCTAAGTATAGCGATATACTCGTGGGTTAACCGAATAAAAAACTATTTCAAAACGTTTTAGGTATTAATATATGTAGATACAAATGCACACCAACATGACTGATTGAAGAATAAATTCAGTAAATTTGAAAATGTATTTTTTGTAGATATATGTATTTATTCCCAAACCTGATTGTACGTAAAATAATCGAGTGTGTTTATCCGGTGTAAATTAGTTCAACTTTAACCTGTATATGGCCTAGATGGAGAATTAAATATTGCAAAACTGGATATAACTTAGGTGGGATTATCTCTATTCAATATATATTTTTTAATTACTGATATCCCTTTAAAAGTTGAATAGCTGTATTTTACAAACAATTCTCTTATATGTATAATTTATGGGGACTATGTTCGGCCCCGCAAGGATTACTTTAACAAGCAATATACAAGTATTTTGATAATTTTGTTCACAGACGGCAGTAAAGAAACCTAGCATCGAAGCTCGGCGCTTCTCAGATGTTTCTACCTGCTCCTTTAGTTCGGGTAAATACTTTGGTCATTGTTTAGCTAAACATACATTCTAACTATTGTGATATCAGCGTGCTTTACTGGCAGCTCTGATGAAGAAGAGACTTCGCCGAAAGATCGTAAACAACGAAACTCGAATGGCAGCTCCGATTTTTGCGTGAAGAATATCGGGAAGCACTCGTTCGGACGCAGGGAAATCGAGATTGCCGAACAGGAAATGCCCGGTATTATGACATTGCGGAAGCGTGCTGCTGAGGATAAGCCATTGAAAAATGCACAGATTGTGGGTTGCACGCACATTAATTCGCAGACGGCGGTGCTAATTGAAACTCTTATTGAGCTTGGGGCCTCTGTCCGTTGGGCTGCCTGTAATATATATTCGACGCAGGTATAGTATATAGTTCATATAGTATTTAGAGAGTCAGGGAGACTTGGGCCTGAAATTGTTTCCACAGAACGCTGTCGCTGCGGCGCTGGCTGAAGCTGACGTACCAATCTATGGCTGGCGCGGCGAAACTGAGGAGGACTTCTGGTGGTGCTTAGACAGATGCATTCGGCATGATGGATGGCAGCCAAACCTGATACTAGACGATGGGGGTGATGCCACGCACCTAATGCTGAAGAAATATCCGGAATATTTCAAGGCAATAAAAGGCATTGTAGAAGAGAGCGTAACGGGTGTGCACAGGCTGTATCAAATGTCCAAAGCGGGAAAGCTGACAGTTCCGGCTATTAATGTGAATGATTCGGTGACGAAAAACAAGTTCGATACTTACTACACATCCCGCGACTCAATTCTGGATAGGTAAGCGGGACTTCATTCAATCTTCTCTATTTGGTTATTAATGAAACTTTTTTGCATTTACCAGCCTGAAGCGAACTACCGATATTATGTTTGGCGGCAAGCAAGTGGTTGTGTGCGGCTACGGCGACGTAGGCAAGGGCTGTGCCAGTAAGTATTTAAATATGTTATGGCTAGAATGTAAAGTCGGCCTCATTAATGAACATTTCGTTTAGAGTCGCTCAAGGGACAAGGCTGTATCGTATACGTGACCGAAATAGATCCAATTTGCGCCATTCAAGCGGCAATGGATGGCTTTCGCGTCGTGCGACTCAACGAAGTCGTAAAAAATGTCGACGTCGTGATCACTGCCACCGGGAGCAAGAGTGTCGTAACGCGGGACCATATGAATAGAATGAAAAACGGCTGCATTGTCTGTAATATGGGCCACTCTTCCTCCGAGATCGATGTGGTAATACGACAAGCGAGATCGAATTTGGAACTTGATCTGATTTTTGACCGTTTGGTTCTGTTCTCCTACAGCACAGCTTGCACTCGGCCGAACTCACGTGGGAGCGGGTGCGCTCGCAAGTAGATCACGTCATTTGGCCCGATGGCAAAATGATAATACTTCTGGCCGAGGGCCGTTTAGTAAACCTGTCGTGCTCAACAATCTCATCGTTTGTCGTTTCTGTTACCTCAACGACGCAGGCGCTTGCATTAATTGAACTTTACAACTCAGCTCCTCAACGCTACAAGTCCGACGTCTATTTGCTTCCAAAGAAAATGGGTAATCCGGTTAAGCCTTTTGTAAAGTTTCAGAATGAAAGATTAATTTATGAATTTGATTATTAGATGAATATGTGGCTAGCTTACATTTGTCTACCTTTGACGCCCATTTGACAGAGTTGACGGAGGAGCAAGCGAAATTCTCCGGGCTAAGTAAGGCTGGGCCTTTCAAAGCTAATTATTACAGGCAAGTCTAAGATCTTCCACTACTGACACGCTCTTAATACGCTACTTATTTAATTCCTTTATTCTTCTTTATTTTTCAGATATTAAATCAGTATTACGAATATCGCCTCTATTTTGTTATTGTGTTTGTTTTTTTATCATTTATTTAAAATCTGAAACCTTTATTTCCATGTGCATATAATTATTAATAAAATACACATTTGTTCCTTGTTATTATAGTTGTTCTCAAAGCCATTAATGTACCATGTAGGATTTTTTATGTCAATTTTTGTGTTCCATGGATATGGGCTGTTTATTTGACAAACGTAATCCGAAACAGTAAACAACCTAACAAACAAAAGTTAACAAAATTAAGCCAAGAACGAAACTTAATACTAATTAGTTGTTATTGACGTACTGAAGAAAAAATGGAAAATATCTTGATGACGGAAATTAAAGATATTCAGTAATTGAAGTTACTGGCCAAAGCTAGCAGGGTTTTACTAGCGCTTTGGCAGAGATTTCCTTTAAATAGTAAGGAGATTGAGAGAACGACACAAAAATATATATCAACCGCTCTTATTTTTGTATTATTTATTTTAATTCCATTTTACTCCACTTGGGAGCTTAGGGCTTCTACAAGAACTTTCCATCTAACTCCATTTGTTGTCCTGAAGGGTGGTCCACCGCCAGGTTGTCGTCTTAGGTCTGTCGATCCGTCTACTTCCTTAGGGGTTCCTCCAGTCTAGAGCTATCCTTACATCGTCATCGAAGTGGATCCGTTTCGATTCATTTGTGTTGTGTTAGTTTCAATAATAATGTACAAGTTATCAGTCGACCTGGTGATTGGCCAGCTTCGACTTTAGCCCTTCGTATGACATTTTTACTGATTTCAATGCGGTTTTAGATTAGATAGAAAAGGCAAAATGAAAATATACGTGTTTTTTGGTTTTTTGGGATTTTGTATACTTTTTATTTCCAAAATTAAAAAAAAATTATCAAATTTATTGAAGCTTAATGCGACCCCACAACTATAGGGTTTTAAGTTGTACTTTATGTATTGAAAAAATTTAATACAGAAATCCTTTTATTTGCTTGCATCCCACGATTCAATTCAATTCACTAGCTTATTTCAGTATAACCAAATGAAATACACTTAAAATATCATGTGTAGAACTATATCAAATATCATATATCATAGATATACGAAGGATCAGGTTACACACCTGATATTTGTCGACAGTGAGTTACTAATCAAACTTAAAACTTCCACTTAAGTAAATTAACAACTAGTGCACTACTTTCCGTTCGTTTGAATTATTTAATGAAGTGAAACGGAAGCAAAAACTACATGGAAAAGCAATTAAGGCTAGCAGTCCGCATAGCTCACTTGATGACTTTCGCAATCTATCTATTTAATGGGGTGCTGACATCTGGTGTCTGATTTAAAACGTCTATAAGTTTGCGGCCTATTTACTGTTGCGGCGGGGCATTGGGTGTATGATAAAGACTATTGATGCAGTTTTAATGAGAACGGTTGAATCGCATCATCTAAGTACAGCAAACTTGGTAAAAATCACTCTTAGTAGCATACTTAGTGTTTTATTTGAATAGTGCCAACCATAATCTAAAATTTTGCGATGCCATAGAAACGGGTTCAAAACTCATTTTTAACAACTATTTTTTGTGGCTTATTATGGCCCCTCACTATAATCCTTAGTCACTTCATTTTCTAGGCCACTTAGTGGCCTATTGTGGTGCCAAATAATCACTTTGGACTTATACTAGATCTGATTTTAACCACCCGGTATTTTTAATTAACTTTGCTACTTTCAAAATCTCGACTTATCGTATAAAAGGTACGATCTTCCTTTCTGCAAAAGTCATTGATTGGGATTTTTTAGTTTATGGAGATTGGATGTTTTTTGGTCCAGAGTTAGAATTTGTACATTCCTTCCATGTTGCCACCTCAGTCGTTCGGGATACGGGATACAACTGGAGTCGTGGAAACAACTGATTGTTAAATCAAAGAATTTTTTAATTTAACGGCTGGGTGTAGGGTGTGCAGGAGTCGGTTTGGAGTGTCTTCAGTGTTCCACTTGTTTTTGTCCGTTACTTTTACATTTTAAAATGCAATATTTGGTTATTAACTATATCGAATTTGTTTGAAAGCGGGCCTATTTGAAATTTGATGAAGTTAACGAACGTTAAACGTAATCTGCCAAGCAGTGGATAATGCAGTGCACAGAGATAATTTTGCTGCGTGATAGAAGCAGGTTTACGCTACTTTATATTTGCTGAAGTCAGAATATTTACAAAGGTGAATAAGAGCCAGAAAGCCACTTATTAAATAAAAATTTATTTAAATAAACGATTAATGAGAATTACATTTATCTTGCATTTGGCTAAGTTGCTTACAAACACGTGTCATATCATTGAGCTTGCTTATGTTTACATATTAGTAGATATTCATAGATGGCGTTATAGAATAAATAGGTGGCGCTATATGTATGTTAAAAATAATGCGTTTAATTTAGTTGGTGTGGAAACATAAATTATAAATCAAATATGGTATTAAGTCACCTTATACGATGGTGACTTGTACATTGGTGTATTTTAGTAAGGTCGCTAAAACAATTAAATTCAATATTACAGACGACCAAAGCCGACTCTATAGGAAGATGACAATAAGACCGACCCTCTGCTGCAGTTTTGGAGTGAAATTTTGTTGCTAATATTATGGAAGATGAACCGATTTGAATGAATTTCTATTAGTTGGGTGTGCAAGGTTCAGTTTAGTGATATTCTGTGGATGTGGAAAGACGAGAAGATAACAAATAAATTATAAACTAAGGAATAGGAGCGTTTGGTTAATGCGGATGTTCATGGACAAACATGTTCACGGATGAACATTTCCAAATTTGTATATCAATTTGTCTCGTCATCCTGATGAAGAATATAGTATACGATGAATGACGGTATATACTTTGCACAAAATTACAGGGTACCTAAATAATATGGCGCGTGACAAACCCATATTCCATGTTCGTATTGCATTTAATTAAATAGCATAATTCCAATTCCTACTGTCCAGCAGCTTAAATACGACTACAACATTTTCGTATTTGGGTAAAACGAAAAACTAGATTACATATGCATGTATTGTGGATCAGTATGAAGATAAAGCGACGTTCGTTCGTTCGCCTGTCCGTCTGTATAAAAACAATTTCGTAAAGAATTTGAGCTCAGAAAAAGACACATATGAGTCATTTTGATGATTCGGAAAAGTTTCCGGCACTTTAAAAATAATTTTTCAATATAAGTGAGACATATCCAACTATAGAGGCTTTGATTTATAGGAAATCTGCTGGGGCTTACATCATTAACTAGTTTAAAACTGGGCTTCATGACATCATTCTCTTTAAGCTTAATCATATTACATAGATGGGTTTCCTGATATTTTAAAAATACGACTCCGAGGGCACTGCCCTTTCTCGAAAATCTTTAATAATATGCATTTATAAATGATATGCATTTTACCCAGCCGCATTTTGCATATTTATTTGGAAGTTCATGACTTTATTGACTTTATTTATTAGTCTATCGACAGTTGGAGACAGTGGATTTATTTTTAAATTGAATCCAAATCCTTACTATTGTAATTAAAAGAAAGATGTTCTTAGAATTATTAAACATAGATCCCAATAATTCAATGACCCATAAACCATTGAGCGATTGAACAGCTCTGCTGGGTTTGGTACTCAATATAAAGCCCATAAGGATGGAATTAAGTCTATACACAAACATTTACTCTTATTTGGTCTTGTTAGTATAATCTGAGATTCCAATGTTTCTTTACCAACTTACTAAAGAAGACATTAGCTTAATAACCTTCCGTTGATAGCAAACCGTGGGACAGTCCTCGGGCTGTGTTTGTTTTAATTTCTCAATTCCTTAAAGACTCAATAGATGTAATCCTTTCAGGTCTTATGCATAAATTATAACGACCTCTTATAAAGCTTTCCTTTTCAGATCCGAAAAATGCCGAATTTAATTATAAATCGCTGTGGCTATACCTTTTTTATAGCCCTACAAAATGTTATTCTTTTAGAGATATGGCGTTAAAACATTGCCCCGTTATATATCAAGACCGATTACGTTAGGTCACTATTCCATATATTTGTTATACAAATGAGAAACTTGTAAAATTAATAGCATATTCAGAGTGTTGTTGTCAAAACACATCGTGCTGTATCCCTTGTGTATCGTCAATCGTGACCCTGGATGATAAAGTGCTATAGGTTAAAAATACAACTTATTAAAAACTAGGCTGTATGGACACAATTGGATATAAATATGGTTTGCGGCACGAGACCATGGAGAAATACTTTTCTTACGCCATAGTGAATGGCCTTAAACTTTGGCGCAGACTAAGATAATTTCTTAGACCGTTTTTAATTTTCTAAACTAAACTTATTAACGAATCGTAATTTAATTCAATAATTTCTCTTATCATCGATATTTCGTCATTTGGTACCGTGTGATTTCTTACTTTCTATTCAATTTATATTCATAAATCCATCATTCGCCTTATCTGACTATCGATCTATTGACATAAGAAAATAGTTCTATCCAAATGGAGAAATTATGCGCGGTTCTTGTCGAACCATGGCGGGATGTCTAAAACATTTAGCTCCAACTAGAGCAGCTTTTTACTTAAATAATCAGATAATTCATGAATTAAGGAACAGAATTAGTTTCAGTACGCCTTAAAAATCATTTCTGCTGCGGGCATTGTAACAACCCCGATTCATGCCTCTATATCTAAGCGTTTATTCAATATATTTTGTATAGTACATTATTGCACATTTTTGAGACAATAATACCTTTTATAATTGTAAAATTACTGGGCTACCTCCTTTCACCGACTCCTACTCTCGCGTTCGCACTGGCTGCTTGCCTAAATACGCCATAAAATAAAGAGTTCGATTTTTGAAAAACAAAAAATCATTTTTATCTTAAATTTACTTAATAAGTAATTTCCTCCCTATTATCTAACGAATTTCTCTTGCTGCTATTCACTGAGTTATGTAGATCTCATTGAATTATAACAAAAAGTGCTCATATGCCGTTTGCCACTGCCGACGGGAAAGTCACTAGATTCCGAAGCCAAGAGAGCACGAGCCACCGACGAATACCAGTCTTCTGTCTTTAAAGCCTTCGTGTGGCAACAACATTTCCCGTAATAAAATAAGGCGCAGTGGCGACGCTGCCTGGCTCATCTAACACTGCGGTACACTGTTAACCTGTTCTAAAAAGGCGACCGCACTTCTCCAAAATAACTGAAGTGGACGGCGCTTGGAAGCCAAACATAAAAGTGCAGGGAGCCCAACTCTTAAATACCCTGTACCCACTCACAAATGATAAAAAAAATTATAAAAAAAATATTAAATTAATTAAAGACTTGCTTTAGAACTAAAGACTTACATAGGACGATGGCACATAAGCACTAGTCGAATGTAATTGACAAATTTGAGTTACAAATTCCAAGAATTACGGGAGCTATGGAAAACTACTAATAGAGGGGGAGTGGTGCTTAGGGAAACCTAGATGCCAAAGTTGGTTATTCTAGCTGTTGTACTTCCTGAGATCGTTTCGATCGTGCAGGCGAACAGAAGAAAGGACACATCGGTAAATAAAAATACTTAATGTTGCTCTGTCCATAAAACTCAAAGAAAAGCTGCCTTTCGAGAGAATAGCTAAAACAGGGAATAAGCCTCAGGAATAATACCTATCCTGGGAACTTGTTGTAAGGGTGTCCAATCTAATCCTCACAACATAAACATTACTTAAACATAAGGGAAACACTAAATTACGTTCTCTCTGTTCCTTAAATTTTCCACTCTTTAGAGTTTTTCAACGATGGGAGGATTGTACCTATCATGCACTCTACGTTCAGCAAGATCTCAATAATAAACTAACATTTTCTTAAACAATTTTAAACGCCCTCCTTAAATAAACTTCTTGCATTCTTCTGCTCCCGCATACAAATGTTCTGTTAATGATTCTCGTTTTTGTTATTTTAAACACTTGGAAAAATAATGTTGTCTAGATTTAATAAAATGTATGTAAAAAAGTTGAGTTGTTTTTATCATTAAAGCGGGTAAAATTTTGAATCAATCGATATAGATGGACCAAATCCAAAGATCTTTTCAACCAGATATATGCATATACGTATTCAGTATCTGTTGGCTTAAAGATGTTGGGCATACAAAAAATGTAAAAAAGCAAAAAAAAAAAGAAAAATGTTATTATTTTAGGGATTTCTGTAATATACTGGAATTACTTTTGTTTTGTTTCTAAGAAAAGTTAATAGCGCATAATTTTACTCCAACAAGCTGCAGAATTGGACTTGTTCTTATTTTACGGAAATTTGTTTGGCATTTCACTCTCGGGCTTTCTCGATTGCAGCACTCTCTCTTGTTTCTTAATACATATTTATGTATTTTTTGTCACAGTTTGGATCCAGTACAAGTTATAACAATTGCAAATACCCCGCAGTCATTAAAAAGAAAACAAAAGGTTTATATATTGAATTAAATTTTGAAGAAGAGGTCGCAGCCGACTCTACGAAGTTACACGTTTTAAACTTCAAAGGTCTAAGCTTTATTGAGCAGATTTTGGTGAGCTGATTTATACGTCTCTCAGGCATTAACAAATAATAGTCAAATTAGAAACATCTGGGTACTGAAAACATGTTAACTAAAAAGGCTCGAGACCTCGATGTGCAGCTCACTGAAATACAAGACCTTCTGAGTTCCTTGAAAAAGACGCGTACCGCTTCGGGAGCTGGAGATGAAGAGCCTTCGTGTTGGGAGTCAGAATTGAATAGGATGGAAAATGATTTTAATATTATGCGTTGCGTGGAAAAAATTATGTTGTTGGTGAAGCATTTAGCTAATGGATTCGTGTCAGCGAGTGCTTGCTATAAAGACGATCAGAAACTATTGTTGGGTTCCTTAACTAATTGTGAGTCTTAAAGCAGATTTCAATAATTATAAGCCTAACATTGTTGATTCTGTGGAACAGGTTGTAAGAAAATTAAGCGTATATATATGGCATTTCCAAGTAAAGGATCCAAAATAAAAGTTATTCATGGAGACGTGGACTCGCCAATAAATATGGTGGAGTCGGTGGTGCATGAGTTGGGGAATACGGTAAGAACGGCTTTGCAGCAATATAATTTTATCGAAGAAAATCGAGATAATTCTGTTGAGCTGGTTGACGAACTAGTGAAACGAACTGATTTTCAACATGTTGAGATGAAAGAACAGGGAAATTTGAAAGAGATCAAATGTGAGGAACTTAAATCCACGAAATTAAGGAAACTGTCTGCAGATCTAAGAGTAGCTCATCTTAAAGAACGAACAAGAAAACTGGTAGCAGAAAAAATTGTGCTTACGGGTAAAACAAACCGTTTGCAGGAAAGGGTTTTTTTAGACAGAGCAAAGATTGGCGATGTTAGGCGCAAGGGGGAGTTGCAGCTGTTAAGTGAGAAGCTTTTGCTCATTAAAGAACAGACCATCGCCAGCCAGTCACGATTAACCCATGAAAAAGCTATCGGAAAGTTAAGACAAGAGCTAGAGCGCGATCAACAATTAATCAGTAAATTGTTGGGCAAAGAAGCAGATCTGGAGGCGAAGACAGAGGAGAATATCCATCTCAGTTCGTTAATGAACAAAAACGAGCAGATTTGGCAGAAGCATCAGAAGACGCTCGAGTCCGTTCAATTTGACTTGGAGCGGAGCTGCATCGTAAAAGATCGAGAAAAGGAGCTAGTTCATGCTCGTAATAAAGAACTAGAGAAAGAGTTAGAAGACCACAGATGGAGGGAAAATCTCTTGCGACAAGAGATGTTGCGAAATAAAAATATGAATGCCAGAGTTGAAGAACAGATACAAATCAACCACGTTTTAAAACAATACCTTGATCAGCTCAAGAAATCGCTGCGGGAGAGCAACAAACAAATAAATGCAGAGCGATCGCGTGCCAGATGTGTGGGAAATAAATTCAGAGATACCCAGAAGCACTTGCTCAACTTACTAAACTTAGTAGCTGCGATTAAAAGTGACGTCGTTGCGCTCACAATAGACAGATGTGCTTCGAGAGCTCTCTTACAAAATCAACGTGAATTACTTGCCGTAGAAAGGGCGAAGAGTGAGATGCTCGAATCTCAACTAGGCAACCAAGCTTCCGGTCTAGCCACTTTGGAGAAGCTCTGCGCAGAGCTTCGAGACGAAGTAGCCGACAAAGACAGTAAGGCTAACTTTTTCCAGCAAAACACCAAACTCGTGAAGGCTCTTATAGAGAAGGCCCAAATGGAAATGGAGAGTACAAAGTCAAAGGTCTTGAAGATTAGCTCCCAATTGAGGGTGCTTCCAAAAAGCAAGCTGGTTTGCAAGCCCATGAATAGAGGAAAAGAATTTAAATGTCGTGCTTTAGTGACGCGTGCTTTAGAGAAGAAGCTGGATGCTATTAATCATAAGTTGGAGGGAGCCAAGATTGACTTTGAGTTCATTCAAGGTCAGTACAAGAGCGCACAGGAAGTAATAGTACAGCCATTGAAAGAAGAGGAGAAAGGGTACGAACATTTTGCATTGCAAAACATCGCTGAGATGGCATACTTATCGAAGAAGGGCCAGATATATGGGAGCTCACCAAACATTCAAGACGATCATGTCAAACCGGACACCCTGAATAGGGCAGTATCCTTGTCGAGCGTCGCAATAGCCACCAAGCAAAGTATGTTGCGTACTTCAGTGGGGCGGACCTTCGGTGACAGACGGCTGAAGCTGTTGCGTTGGTGCCAGATAAAAACGCGACCCTACGGTATACCTATGTATGAATTCTGTATCTCCTGGTCAAACGGACATGCCTTATGCGCCATCCTGCACTCTTATCGGCCCGATTTAGTGGACCCCAAATTTCTAAAGTGCAAAAACCCCGCAGAGACGTTGGCTTATGGCGTCAAAATAGCCGAGTTTTTGGGCATCCAATGCAATTTTGACTTTGCTAGAGTTTGTCAACAACGCCCCAAGCCAAATTATGAAAAGGTAATCAAATTTGTTGAATTGTTATACTGTTGCCTGGAAGGGGGAAATGATAATTAAGAACGTAAAGCAAGTCGCTATTATTCCGTAAGATATACCCATATTGCATTTAATTATATTTTTTAAATACTGAATAAAGTAAATTGTAATGCATCGTAAGATGGTTATTTAGAAGTGTCGTAAGTGCATTTAAACTATTTGGAGTACACAAGAACTAAGAAATTACATTGAGACATAAGGGCTTATACTTCTTGCTCATTATCTTGCACTTATAATACAGAATCATCGATGTACGAGTTCTTCCAATAGCACATCATTCCAAAGATGATCTTTTGATCAGCTCTAGGTCCCTGCAACGGATTCATTTGCATCAGGAATGTGACAATCCAGACGAGCCAGCAGCAAATTGCTGTCATTATAACGCAGCACCTAATAACAGCTCGTTCCCTAAACAGGCCACCAATGCACGACCCGATAATGGCGAACACTACCCAGAATAATGTAAAAAATATAAGGGCAAAGTTTTTATCCATTGTGTTTAGAATTATTGTGTTCTGTGTGGAAAGTATTTTGGGTGTTTATGACACAAATTTAATAGCAATGTAAAGTTATTATACTCTGTACCTAAAAGGTACAAAAGTATTTTACGATTGCAGGAAGTGAAAAGTGTAACAGACAGAAGGAGGCGTGGCAGATCCCAGAAACTTTATATATTCTTGATCAGCAAGTCTATCTAGCTCAGTCTGTTTGTTCGTCTGTACGCCTATATGGCGACCCGGTTCTCAGGGGCTATAAGACCTAGGTATACACAATGTTGTACACAGAGGCCTTGTGTGTGTACGCAGTAAGAGATTGTGTTTTTTGATTCACCTCCCGTAACACCGTTTGTATAAATTAAATTCTAGCCTAGAAAAATTTGTTCTTTCGGCTTGCAACTGAACTTGATCGTCTGTTAATTTCCGATTGTCCTTCTTGTTTGTCCTCTAAGTTTAGAGTGTTACGTTGCTGCTCATGAGACCTCGCTTTAATAAAATACTGTGGATCACAATCCAAAGACCTCCGAACTCAATGATTTCATGAAGCGGCCCAATGGCCAGTCTTAGGTATTAGTGTTTTAATCAGTATCTGTTATCTGTTTTTGAAGAGTTTTGAAATATGAGTTAGGATGCTGCTTGCTTCAGTGTTGCTTTGTCTTAAATCCTTGGTGTTGCATTCAGGCCAGATGATGTGAAGGATCTCTCTATTAAATAAGTTCTCTAATATTTTTGGTAGCTTTCGTATATGCAATTTTTTATCTTTTCCACATAAAAATTGTCATTTAAAATTTGGGCGAACTCGCTTCTTTTCCTGGGCTCATAAACTTTTATGACGGAGCCTTTCTTATTTTTACATTCACTGGAGCAAGCGAACGCATTGGAGCGAAAAAGTTATAAAAAAGGAAACTGTACACATTTGCCGAGTGCCAGCATCAGTGAAGCATGCAATAAAAGCGTTACCAATATGTATCACCCCTACGAGAGTTGCGCATTACTCGTAATACGCACACATCCTGACTAAGCTCAAAATCCGTTTTACGAGCGGTGATGAGCAGGGTGGGTGAGCCATGTGGTGACTGCCCCCCGCTCCAGACTCAGTCTGGATGGTGCCGCGAGTGCACAGGCGCGCCTCGTAAAATGGCCGCCTCACAATGGCAATGGGATATCCAGCGAGTTCCGTGCCAACGGGCAACTGTAATCGAGTTTTCCCAAAGTAGCAATAAATGTTTATGGCGGCATCGAATTTTCCATTTTCTCGCTGTAAGTATCAAGACGGCCGGTGCCACTTCCACCCCAGCCCCCGGGGGTGGTTCAGCATTCGCAGCAGCCATCTTGAATTTTGTTAAGAAACATGGGAATGGCAAATGACATAGACTTTTGCAATTTTAAGAACAAACGGTAGCATTAGGTTTTGGAGGATTGTTTCCAGTTGCACTGTGCACCTAGTTCATCTTTTCCGAACATACCCATCTATATATCTGCCTCAACTTGTTGGTTGCCGATTCAAATGTACGTCATAAATCACGACTCACATGGCGTTTGTCGGTCCGGTCACAAGTAAATGCAAATAAGGCGTAAAGTGTTATGTTGTTGTGATGTTCACAAACGTCTGTGACGCCGTCGGCAATCTTTGAGAGCGCGGCGTATGCGATTAGGGACAGAGACATCCGAGGCTTTCATTTTTCCGGTATGTTTTGGGTTACTTAGTCCATTAGGTATCAAAATAATTACGACCTGTATGGAGCATTCCCCGATTGATAGTATACTGAATTTGAAAAGAAAAACAAGGAGGCGATGGTACGCCTTGAAAAAAGATTCGTGACCCATTATACCTGACTAGTGCGAAAATCTTGTTTAAATTGATATGATGTGAATAATGAATACGTAGACTCTTCTACCATATCTAGGACCCCTACCAAATGTATTATATGTAACCAAGTCAAAATGCATTTCTGTCTTGGTGGAAGCCCACTTAGCTGCATGTTCACCGTTTGTTTTCTGACTGGGGCGATCGGCGAACCTATCTGGTGTTTTAGTAAAAGTGCTTTTAATTAAAATACTTGTTGTTTACATAAATGGTTATAACATTCCAAAGAGTTGGCTTACGACACGAACACACTGAAGAGTTGAATAAACATCTTATACCGCTATAATTGATTCCAATTCTTGCGCTTATGATCATATAGATAGAACTGAGAAATTAAAGGTGTGTTATATAAACTTGCACCATTCTAGTAAGTATAACCGAATCTGACCCTTACGTTTTTCCGTTTTAAGGTCTCCTAATGTGGACTTTCGTTGTTCTACTAAAAACCGTCAAAGCCTCAACTTAGTCTTAATTCGTGCAACATTCTATGGCGATACGGGCTGCTTGAATAAGCGTGGCTCTGTCTTTGTGCCAACAAAGGCCGGGTGCTTATGTTTGTCTACTATTTCACGTAAACCTGTAAGCGGCCAACCCCTCCGACAACCAACGGATATTGCGAAGAGCACTGATGTATTTACGCACGAGTATACCGCAGACTTTTTACATCTGCAATAACTGGGGCCAGAACCGACAGAGACGGCTGCCGTCTCCTCCAAAGCGCCGACAGCTCCTCCGATATTTACCTGCGAAATGTGTTGCAAACGCTGCGCTTGTCGCCTGTGTTGTGGATGGGCACTTCCTTAAATGGTGCTAAAATTGCTAAGTGATTGGGCAAACAACGCGTGCTGGGTCGCACAACTAATCTAAATTTCTGAGGTTAGTTCGACGTGTTACTTGGAGACAAAAGCCGCTGGTTGTATTGACACCTTCGGCGACAATACGTGCAAAGGCGTTTGCGGAATTAAGGCCATTGATAAAACCTATCTTACAACGCTTTCAGTACAAACACACAAATATAGAAAAACAAAAACATCTGGGACAGTTCTTGTTACTGTTTTTCTTCCCAAGCTTTTTGTCGGGGAACTAGATTGATCAGCGTTTTGGCATCGCCTCTGCTTTTAAGTTTTCTTTTGACCGACAAAAGAAGCAAAGCAAAAGCATTCATTGACCATTTATCCTATGATTAAATTATGTAGTTCATTTTTAATAAGATTCTTTGTTCTTCTTGTTCTCTACTTGAGAAATCATTTAAGGAACCCATAAACCATGCCTCTGCTATTTTAGCTGATCAAAGCTTGATATATACATGGTATATAGGTCATACAAGTAGGTATGCAACTTTTAATGAGATAACAGAAAGAAATGCTCTATGACAGCTGTATTGTAAAATATAGTTCGTTTCACTCAAATAAATTCTAGCTGGGATTACCTGAGTTGGCTTTAATCGCCAATACACATGCTGTTAAAATGGTACTTTGGAGATAACCATATACTTATTCAATTTTCATTTCAAATAATTTGTTTTCTAATTCTGATTCTCACAGGTATTGTTTAAACGGTACCGATAGTTTTATAATTTATATCACTGTTATAACGGCAAGAATTCCCAAATAATTGAAATCGTTGAATTACATTATTTTTATATTCAATCTTAAAATCAAATGAGCCGAATGCTATAGTCTTACTCTTTGATACCCCTTGCGTACAGATATACAGTTTATAGTCCGTTTGATTGTTTAAAGTCTTTTACTTTTAAATATACTATATGGCGGACATCGCCATATTAATTGTGACTTATGTAGTGCCGTACCATTTTTTACTGCTTAATAAAATGACCCCTCAACCAATTTAGGGTTCAGATAAAGCTTGAAAGCCAAATGCACAATAAAGCGATAAATACAAGTAGTAGTTGTACTATATAGTATGTTGTAAGTTTCACAGCAGAATTGACTCTAATTTGACTCTTGAGTTTTTGTTTTTTAAGGCCTTTTTATGTTCCAGTGGGCTTTGGGTTTTAATTTTCGTAATATGCAGCCATCGAACAGCTTTTGTTCGCTTTTAGACGAAGGGCTAAAATTAGCTTTTGCTTGGAAAACTATTTAGTGTAAAGGTTTTTTGGATAGTAGGTAGCCATCGTATCATTTGGTGGAGTATATGGGCGACCATCCGTGGCTCCATAAAATTGAGTTTGCGCAATACCCATCCACTATACCGTGATTGATTTTCTGGGCCCACAAATCGTGGCGTGCATCTGTCAGTGGATGGGAAGTGAAACTGGAACGCTGCCGCCGACATCGGAGCAGGAGCAGGAGCAGGAGCAGGAGCATGTGTCAGCGGCAGCAGGTCCTGACTGCGCAGCGCCCGACGGACACGCAATGCTTGCGAGGGCGACCACGGCGGTGGTTGATTCCGGCCACCGCTGGCTCGATTTTTATGTATCTGGAGCGGCTGTTCAACCCTCACAAAAGGCGTGCGTGCAATTGCCAATATATCGGAGAATATCGAATTTGTTGGCTCTGCATGCGCGCGTGTGTGTGTGTGAATGTGAGAGTGTGTGAATAAGTCAGCAAACGTGAACGCGTGAAGATATACAACCGCCATATATCTAAACATTGTGCGCTGCTGGGTCCTATCCCCCTCGGCATTTGTTTATTTATTTGTTTATCTACTATTGGATTTACGAGCTCGTGTGCAATGCCTGCAATGTCGGCTCTGTCGCTCTTGTTGTTTCGCAGCTCGCCCTATCTCTCTAACTCCGCTGACTGACTGCTGGTTCGCTACGGTCGCTTTGTTGTTGTTGGTGCAATCGCCTCTAACAGTGACTCTTGCTTTTGGCGACGATGTCGCTCTGCGCCGTCGTCGAACCTTGTTCGCCGCTCTACCGTCGTTGCTGGTCGTAGATGGAAGTTGGTATTCGATGCTTGTATGGATGTGATTCAGTTCCAGGAATCTAACAGCTATTCACACCCAGCAGAAACCTCGCACATCATTCACTGTTCGAGCGTATTCCGACGACAACCTCGTTCCGTTCCGCACATCCGCACGCATCGCATCGCACTGAGTCGCAGCTCCAACTGACACTTGACCGCCGGCGGGCACTTTATTGAAAGTGTTAAAGCACTAAACCAAT